AAATATACTTATATATGTACAATATATGTATTCTATCCGTTACCCTAGAATCCCATAATACAAGCCTTACAGTGCTTACTTTGGGGCTACGCTAATTGGTGTGAGTGTTGGAAATATTTCCTTTTGTCAATCAATAAAAAAATTACAAAGAGAAAGCGCGTCAAAGCCTCGTTTGGGGGGGAAGAGGAGTCCCACATAACCCCGTCTCTGACCCAGGGGCGGGGTATACGTCACGCATTTTCCCAACAATAAAAAAATAAAAAAAGGCTTAATGTGACGTCACTTCTAGTAAAACTTCTCTCACGACGTATTGTCATGCGACATTTCAAATAAATAATGTGTAATGTTTTAATTGTGTGAATAAAGAAAAAACTCATGTCCAATACGTTTTGATAATCTACTTGACAGGTAAAGAAAAAAGAAGTTAGTCACCATAATCCCCAGTACAGTAAGTATATGAATAACATTCGTTTTTTGCATCACTGATATAAAAATCGTGACCTAGGTCGTGTCGTACCAGTTAATACGTGAGTATAAAAGCGGACACAATTTATTGAAAAAACCCAATGACCAAGATGGAAAGGTGTCTTTCGATACACGGGAAATAATATTTTTAAATTTTTAAAGCATTTAAATGCTAGATGTTTAAATCTGTACCCCTAGCACTAACCAATATCCTAACGTGATTCGTAACGTTTGCGAGTCCGAAATGTCATTGTCAAATGTGTACTGATTTTTAGTTCTTGATAGGTGCTTTGTGGCTATTCATGTTTCCATACAATATTTGACATTGACATTTCGCAGTCGCAAACTATTCGAATTCGATAATGGTTCGTGCTAGGGGTACTGACGAAAATTTACAAAAAATTTTTTTTCTTCAATATTTTTTTCATAATTTACAATTATAATAAGGATAGCATCATTCATATAATCTGTTTGCAGTACATAATTCATATTAGTGTCTGAGCTTGATGGTGCAGTGCTTGCGCATTCGGCTGGTGAACGTGAAAGTTGAGCAACTTTCGCAACGGTCAGTCTTGGGAAGGGTGATCAAAATTTCATGATCTCGACTTCCGTCGTGCTCCAGAGTAAAGCAAACTTTTTGTGCCAGCTGCATCGGTGGTCGTTAGAACTCACCCAAACTCAAAAAATATTTATTCAGTCTAGGCTATTACAACACTTGTTAAGAAGCGACGTCATCTCGCCAATATCTGATTAAGCTTCTCAATCAGATCTTGGGGAAAGTGCAATACTACAACCCGGAAATGAACCTCTTGATTTTTGGAGTCTAAAACATGGAACGCCATGCTTATTGTTAAACACCTCACCGATCCCAAAAACACTTTTAAACGTGCTAGAAAGTGAAAATATTAGATTATATAGATATTTTAGATTTAATCAATTTATTTATAAAAAGACTGTGTGTGAATTGCTCTGAAATAAAAATCAACACATCGAAATGAGCATCAAACCTTTTACTAAGCGGGCAGATTACTTACCAATTGGGACGACGATGCGGGTTTAAATAAATGAAATTCTATTTAGTCCGTCAGTCAGAATATCAAAATATAATAGACAATTTGTTATTGGGGGCTCGTGACGTAATTTCTAAGTAAAAACTGTACCCCTAGCACGGACCATTATCGAATTCGAATAGTTTGCAAACTGGAATGTCAATGTCAAATTTTGTATGGAAACTTGAACATCAGCGGCACAATGTACGTAACGAGAACTAAAAATCAGTAGACATTTGACAATGACATTTCGGACTCACAAACGAAACGTATTCGATATTGGTTCGTGCTAGGGGTACTGTACCTATAAGTGACGTCATGCGACATTTCAAATCAATATAAATCCCGGAATGGTTTGATTATGTTAATAAATAAAAAAAGCGTATCCAATACTTTTTCATAATCTACCTGTTCGAGTCTAACAGTTAGACGAAGAAAAAAGTTACTAGTCGTCTATTACCTGGACTTTCGGGAAATTGCCTAAAATAGAAGAATGTTTAGATAAAATTCGCCTTTAACTAGACTTCGTTCTATTCAATACGATAAGATTAAATGTTCGTAGAATTGTTATAGAGATCCTTTTCCTAGTGTTGCATATGATTTCTGGTATTGGTAGATCGATGCTTCTCATTATGGAAAAACCATTCTAATACCTAATTGAAACTGAATCCGCTAGATCCAAAATTCAAATCCTTATTTTTTTATAAAACCACGTTTTATAAACCTTAAAATTAATAAGCGACAACTTGTAATAAACACTTACTTAACAGTCTTGCCCGATGCCTGGACCGCTTGGTTTTTTTATAGTAAAATTTGTATCTTTAGATTTATAAATCTTTCAGTTAATATAAAATGTAATTACAGTTCCGATCTCAGTCAAAAAGAAACACATACACACTGACCTTGACAATTCATACATGCCAGAGAACAAAACAATCCAACTTTTTGCAACCACATTTAACACCGCATCCCTTTTTACAGTTGCAAAAAAATGAGTTTAGCTGTTTTTTCCGCGCAGGTAGGAGTAAAGTCTGAATTCTGATTTGGTTTTCATGTATTGTCGACAAATTTCCAACCGCATTCTTTTGGGTCTAGCTACCATATAACCAAGACACACTTGAGCTGGGTAATATACCTGAAAAAGATGTTGATGAGCAGCACCTGAAGTTGGATGATAACAAGCTAATAGCTCTTGTTTTTATTTAGTGTTTTTTTTAAAAACATGCTTATCGATAAATGTTTTTTTTTATTTCGCGTGTTTTTAGCAAAACATACATTATCTAAGCAGATTTTTTTTATGAGTCCGTACAAAGAAAGAAGAAAGCCAATTCCGTTGGTGTATATTTCTTGTGGAATTAAATTATTTTTATAAAACTTCAGCACATTATTCTCATAGTTATACTTATATATTTTGAAATGTAAGTTATAATCACCGATAGGAAAATATATTTACTTGTATAACTGCTACAAAGATGTATGCATATTATGAAGCCTACAACTTTTTTAATCGTTATTATCTCAGAAACAGTGGCTCTTAGGAAAAAAAATATTGATACCTTTTTTATAAATCATTTTATGTTCTACAATTTTATCGCAAGGTCGATTACGATAACTCTTACCGTTTTTATGACGATCGCAAAAAACCCACTTTTTGACCTTTTATTATACTCTTTATACTCTTTATTGCATCATATAGTTAAAACATATAGTCAAATACATAGTAAGCAAAGGTGGTCTTATCTCTAAAAGAGATCTCTTCCAGCCAACCTAGGTGAACACAACTTAGCGGGAAACAGAAAGTGCAATAAAAATTAAACTAAAAATAATTTATTACTACTGTTATAGGAAATAGACTTAACAAATAATAGTTATATATTTATACGATACACATTACATATATATATACATTACATGATACATATACCTACATAAATAAACTTGCATAAATATACAGAGATAAATACAATACCGATCCAAATATACATAACACACATATAAACCTGATAAATAAATACTTATAAGAAACAAGATACTTCGTGAGAATGATTCATTAAGTTTGAGATTTCTGTTTGAGAAAATGATCTTTAACTTTAGACCTAAACGAGAAGATGGTCGGACATTCCTGAATATTGGACGGAAGTTTATTCCACAGCTGTGCAGCCCTAAAAGAAAAGGAATTCAAATAGGACATGGTATTACTTTTAGGAAGCTCAAGCGTCTTAGTAATGCAAGGTCGCCTAGAGCGTGAAGGAGGGGGAAGAATCTTGAATCGGGAACGCAGGTATACTGGGGAGTTTGGATCTTTGAGAATCTTGAATAAGAAGACAAGCATATGCAAATCTCGGCGAAGACGAATAGGGAGCCATTGAAGTAGAGAGCGATAAGCTGACATATGATCATACTTCCGCAGACCAAATATAAAGCGTATGGCTAAATTTTGGGGTCGTTCTAATTTATTGAGTAGCTCTTCATTTGCATCAGGATAACAGACATCGGCGTAGTCGAGAATTGGAAGAAGGAGTGATTGCGCTAACATAATTTTGGTTTTAAATGGTAAAAAATATTGAAGTCACTTGAGAGAGTGGAAAGAGTAATGTATACGCTTACTAACTTCACCAATATGCGAGAACCATGACATGTTACAGTCCATTATCAAACCAAGGTTTTTAACTTTGTCAGTGTATGGTATTGGAATATTGTTGTAGAGGAGTGGAGGAACAATATTCCAATCCAGTCTACTCCTGAGCCGGCTGTTACCCACAATCCTCCTTCCCAAGTACGCAAAAGAATTTTAAAATGTTATCTTTAATTATGTTTTGAACAATTTTACTCACTTCCAACTTGATGTAAATTTATGTGCCTTCAGTCTTATATTTTTTTCTTAAAAATACGATAAGATTTTATTATTTGATCGAATTTTTCGATAAAATAATAAAATCTTATCGAAAAATTCGATTAAATAATAAAATCTTATAAATACTATCATCAAATCATTGTGCCTACAAAACATCTCAAGTCATTATGTAGATCTTTCTATGTTAGGTTAAGTGCTTCCAATGCACGTTTATGCGCCATTGTGCATTCGTCCCAGATGATGATTTTCGATGCTGATAAAACTTTGACCATTGTGGAGTATTTTGCACATTACATGTTGGATCATCAAACATCCCACGAACAGGATAAAATATCCCATGTCCGTCTCCTGATTCCAAGCAACCTCCCCACCAATTTTCAGCCAAATCGGTTCTCCGTTCTGGAGTTATAAATAGTGTAACTAACACGACTTTCTTTTATACATAGATATACATTAGATAGCATTAAATATGTATATATTATTAGTAATTGACTAAAGCTGGTATACATTACAGATATTATGTCAAACTGTATTTTTATTACCATCATATTTTGTTTTGTTTTGTTTTGTATATCAACGGATGCATATCATGCTAGCTCAGAATTTATGTAATTAAAAAAAAAGGTAGGTAGGTAATCTTGTCATCTAAATTTAGTATAATTTCAGTATATTTGGTATCAGCAAAACAGAAGTGGTCACCACCACACTACAACCGGTTACTCACCGTCGCATCATTATAGTAGCTTACTGACTGACGTTACGCACAAACTAAAGTCCAACCGAAAAGTAACCCTTGTTGTCTGAGGCACACGTTTCAATATATATCGAGGTGCGGCCTCGCTTATAAGTTAGTCAGTTTCTCGTTTCACATGATAATTGCTTAGTGTATTACGGGACACGGTCGAGGACACAATGCGGATAGTTTTGTTTTTATTTTGCCTCGTAACATCGTGTTATTGTGATGTGGAATTCAGTGAGCGGCCTCGGAACTTTAGCATAGAGTTAGTGCATTACACCCAATTGGCGAAGAACGGTCATGTAGTCATTTCACCTTTCGGAATATGGACGCTGATGACAGGTGTGGCTCTGGGAGCTACGGGAGAGAGCTACAATCAATTGGCACACGCGTTCCTCCTTCCAAAAGACAGGAATGCACTCATCAAAGGATACAGGGACCTAACTTCAGATGTTTTGAACCCAACGACGAAAGGAGTCACTTTGTCGAGCACGAATTTCGTCTTTCTAGACAATGACTTCAAAGTGTTTCCTGAATTCTCCCGGACATTGGTATCGGACTTCAAGGCGACTGTAGACGTGCTAGACTTTCAAAATCCAAACTCAGCGGAGATGGCCAACAACAAAATCCAAAGAACGAGTGGTAATGTCAAAAATGTTTTACGTTCCGACGACTTTGCGGAGTCACGAATGATATTGGCTAACGTGATTTCGTTTAGAGGTCTGTGGGCGATGCCTTTCAACAAATCTAATACGAAAGAGGAGGTATTTTACGACGAAGCGAAAAACCCTATAGGCCGTGTGAATATGATGAACCAGAAATCAATTTTCCCGTTCTCAAATGTTAGAGCAATGAAATGTTTCGCATTAGAGTTGCCTTATGGCGACGATAAGAAGTATGCCATGTTATTCTTGTTGCCATATCAGGGAGTGAAAGTTACCGAAGCATACCAGAACTTGGCAAATGTAAGCTTGAAGGATATATTTAAGCAACTTGAAGAAGACGTGGAAGAATTTGGCGATGAGGAAATAGACGTAAAAATACCTAGATTTCACATCACTACGAATGTTGTTATGAATAAACCTCTAAATAACATGGGCGTTTACGATATTTTCCAACCAGACAAAGCAAAGTTCGATAGAATAACTAATGAGGATATATTTGTGTCGGCAATCGTGCACAAAGCTGATATTGAGGTGTCGGAAGCAGGGACGGTTGCGAGCGCAACAACAGAAGCGTATTTCGCTGATAGAATATCGCCGCCTAGCTTTTACGCCAACAGGCCTTTTATATATTTTCTTATGGAGAAGACAACAATGACAATGATATTTGGTGGAATATTTTCAAAACCCACGCTATTCTAACCAAATAGAATAAGGATAGCTAATCAATTATATAAAGAGCTTCTATTTAATTCGTTATAAGACTGCTTTTGGTGTGACGAAAACGTGTGTTGTGTGCGATATGATTTTGTTGTTTTATTTTCCTCTTATTCTTATTGTTGGCTAATTATATTTTAATGATCTTTTAAATGCTAATATTTATTATTACGTACCTTTTTCAATAAGAGTTTGCTGTTTAAATATGTACCCAATTTATTTTCATTTTTTATGTAAGAAGATAACTTTTTGAATGTACTAGATCTATATAAACATTATACATCACACAATTTAAAACTTTTGACATTTCCGAGATAAGTAGGTACTTGAATAAAAAATGTTTGACAATACTGTTTAGAACAAAAGTTAATTCACTATATAGTCACCGGCCTTGCAATTACATCATTGTTTGTAATATTCAAATACCAGATAGAAACCAGCTTCCATTTATGATCCATAAATTACGAATTTGTTATTTTATTGTTTTAGAACACCCAACAAAAACATCTAAATTGTAATACAGCTCATCACACGTTTTTGACATTTCAACGTGGTATCATCGAAGTATCATAAATAAAGGCTGCCACGAAATGCCAAAGTGTGTAGTAGTGACCAAATTACCAAACTAATAATATAAATTGTTTTAAACTTTCATGGTCACTTACATTATAGCTACTAACGGGATTGTTACCATATAGTGATGTAACGAAAATTCGCATTCGCATTCGCGAAATCGCTGCGAAAGTTTTGCAAATATGAATAATTAGAAAAACAGCAATTTGAAGAAGTTGTAGTTTTTCCTTTCCTTGAATATTTATTGTTACACAGCTTGCATTTAGCTCGTTCTGCAATGCAAAGTGTGAAATAGGTCCATATTTCACTAATTAGAATTTGATCCACTCATGTTAATAAATCACTAGTTAAAGTCTAACCTCAAAAGTACTTGTTTTGTTTACGAAAAGAACGGCGCGAGGGGAATGACATTTCAGCCGGATGAGTTCTATCAACTCGGCAATTCGAACGAGACTGCCACCATGCCATAGACAATTGGTGCCAATTTTGAAAAATATACTAAACATTCGCATCCGCGAATGTCGGTACCAGACAATCGCATCCGTATCCGTATTCGCGAATGTAAAAAAAATTACATTACATCACTATTACCATGTACCTCGTTTTTCAAATATTGTTCTAAATTTTTGAAATGCTTTTGTTGAAATATCGGAGACTCATAAAAAACAAGGTACATGGTAACAATCCCATAGATAGCTATAATCTTTATATATATAATTCTTCTGTGAGTGTGTATGTCACTGAACTTCTCTTAAACGACTGGACCGATTTTGATGAAATTTTTTGTGTGTGTTCAAGGGGATCTGAGAATGGTTTAGATTCACAATTTTGTTCGCTGGACAACCCCTATTTTTTTAGGGCGGTACGAAGTTCGCTGGGTCAGCTAGTAATATTATATAATCGAAAACTTGTCTGTCGCTGCACCGCTTTAAACGAAATTTGGTAAAGAGGTAGTTCGAGTCCCAGGAAGGACTAATAATGGTTTTTATTCCAGAAATCACCCTATAACGTGGTTATTTTTTCACGTCGACTAAGTCACGGGCACCCTTATAAAATATAAATAATTTTCAGAAACATATTTTTGTCACTAATATTAATAAGGCATATCTATCTCATTATTCACAAAATAAAAAAATAACTTCCTTTATCTATTGCTTAACAAGTAAAAGTAAGAATAAGAGAAATTGAATTTTGATAGCATTTCTATTGTTTGAAAATGGCGCGTTCGTCCGCCATTATTATTACCTACCTACTGGGACGTTGGAATATCGACAGAATCAAAAATTCGTTTTATATACCAGCCCTTTGTATCTACCTATCTAATTCTAAAATATGAAATTCTCGTATAACAGTGTTTGTAACGAAACTCCTCCGAAACGGCCTGACTGATTCTTATGAATTTTTGTGTGTATAGTCAGTAGGTCTGAGAATAAGACGTCAACTATTTTTCATACAAACGATATCGTTATTTATGCCCTTCTACCACCAACCCTTATTTTATGGCAATACGAAGTTCGGTGGGTCAGCTATATAAATCTTGTGTTTACAATAGTTTGTTGACGTTTCTCCGAAATGGATTCACAAATTTTTATGACATTTTTGTGTAAGTATTTGTAATTTTAAGTTCTGAGAATGGGTCGCAGACTATTTTTATATAGGCGATAGGTCTGAGAGTGGGGTGTAGGTAGGCTATATTTTTCCCTGTCGTGGAGTGCGGTTATTTTCCATCAGAAGTCGCATAGTCATGGGCACAGCTAGTTTTATTATATTAATAGATTTAAGTAAATAATCGTATCGATGAAGTGCTTAGGAATCTATTTTATTAGGGTTCCCAATTAGCGTAACGAAATAAAAACCATCCGTCGCTTCAGTCCGCCGCCGTAAATTGTTGCATTTCATATTAACAACTTGTGGTACTTTGGAATATAACAACTTTACGTACGTAGATGGATGACATGGTTGTTTTGGTGAACTGAAGAGCTGCTTTCTTTAGGTTCTACTCTTTGTAAACGATATTAGGCGCGAAATCATGTGGAACATTAAATATAGATTGCTGGGGTTATTTGCACCCAAAAGAGCTTCATATTTTTTTGGCTATGGAAAAAGTAACAAATGCCAACCAGCTGTGCTTTTCTGTAAAATTTTCAAGCGCGGGTCCGATGTGGATCCGCGCGGTCTGCATATAAATCCGCGCGGTTCCACATCGGACCCGCGCGTGAAAATTAAAGAATAGCACTGCTCAGGTACATTCCCACAGAAAATAAAGTCCTTTCCCCTCATGATCATAAATGCGCGCTTTGTACATAATATTTTTTATTTTAGGGAGGTTTTCAGCTTTTCATCACTTATTAAAAAACAAATAACATTATCTAACAGTCAATTAAAAACCTCCACATTTTAAAATTTAGATTTTAAAATCAATTTAGACTTCTCCTAAGATATTCATTGAAATCAAATATAGTACATTTTTGTAAAAATTCAATGCTTGTGATGAATAATATTATTAAGTATTTTGATAAAGTTTGATATAAAGTTTATTAAATCATCTTCGCAAATAGTGCATTATTTCAGAACAAAGATGAGGTAGGTAGCCACCATAAAAAGATTATATAGTGTGTCAACCTTAAAAGTTAGACATAGTGGTCTTTTTTGAGAACTTTCAAAGGAGAACAATTTATTCATATCTGATTTTTGTGTAACTTAAATCTTTTACGTAGCGCACGCAACGAAAGCTCTGAAAAGGAATATTTTTTCCGCGATTTAAATGTGAAAGTGTGTTTGTCTGTCTGTCTATCTGATACCTGTTTATGGCCAATCGAGACGAAATTTGAATAGAAAAGTTTGACACCCGGGAAAGGACATAGGATATTTTTTATCACAGAAATAATCCTTGAGAGGGTGAAAGGGGATGAAAGTTTGTATGGGAAACCTATAGTCATTCCACACTGACGAATTCGCGGGCGACCTAAAAATGCGAAAGTGTACCTGTCTCTCTCTTATCTCTTCACGCTTAAACCGCTAAAACGAATTAGATGAAATTATATAGAGATTGTTTGAATCCCGGGAAAGGACAAAGGGTAGATTTTATCCCAAAGGAGATATTTTAAGGGGATAAAATGGGGTGAAAATTTGTTTGGGAAACTAATTTCTCCACACGATGAGTCCGCTATGAGTAATATTACCTTTATTACTAAGTACACTTTAAATTTTACAGAATGTGTATTTACTATTTCCACATTAAACCTTCCTTTAACCTTATTAAAATGGTTTATTACTCTACTAGCGGCCGCCCGCGACTACGTCCGCGTTAACTTCAGTTTTTTGAGAATCCCTGAGAAACCTCACATTTTCCGGGATTAAAATTATCCTTTGTCTGAATCCATGTCAATTGGACATTTTGTCTCAGATATATTTGTGCGGCGAATGGAGCGGAACACGAGTGTTAGACAAAATGTTTGTCTTACTCATATTCATTTTAAGGCCCACTTATTGAGAAGCTCTGCTGAGGTCGTTGAGCATTGTTTTGAAGTACTCCAAAGTGACTGCCATAACGATTAGGCTATCATCGGCAAATCGAAGGTGAGTGGTGTACTCGACGTTGAGGTTGATGCCAAATCCACTCCAATCCAGAAGCTAAAAGACGTCTTCTAACGCAGCGGTTAACGGTTTTTGGGGGTTCACATCTCCCTGTCAATATTATAGATTAGGTAAGTTGGTAGGTACCTACTTAACTAAGTAACAATGTGGGTATCATTTAGTCCAACCTGTGTGGATTTCATGCATAAGCTCATTTATATAAATAGGGTAAGTGCCACGTAAAAACCAACATAATACGATCATAAATTCTGCTAACAAAAAAATAGTTACTAAGTAGTTTTTCGATTCAGTGGTCACAGCCCACAGTCCATTACCACCTTCAATTAACATCTTTAAATGAAGGAAACAAAACAAAACCCACACAGCACACAATGACAAAAATAACACAAAGAAATCGCAAAAAGTTAACCTTGTCATCGCATCGTATCATTAAAGCATAATCATTATATCACGTAGAATGATTGTCACATATTTAAAACAAACGCTCAAGAATTCCGGACATCAAAAGCGTATCCAAAGATTCTAAAGCATTGGTATACAAAATAGATAACTATAGTATTTAAATTTTAATGTTACTTCTTTAATAGGTAGGAACAAATTAAAAAAAAACAAACAAAGTTTGAATGAACAGTTACCTATTATAATTTTTGTTTCTCTAGTACAGACAGGAGCGCTCACAGTGGTCCTAAGTGGTCCGAGAATGTCCGAGATATCGTGTCCGTGGGTCCGTAAGCGATCTCTATATGTGCGTTGCTCAAGTGCACATGTAGATTACGTTCTGTACTATATATTTTGTGGTTGGTACCTACAATGCTATCTAATGTTCTTATCAAGTGCTTGTCCAGAGCAATGACCTATGTCAAGAGGCAATTGAATTAGATACCTACAAGTGGTTATATAAAGCAATTTGTGAGATACGAGTATTTGCATCACATTTTGCATCTGTTTATTAGATCTGAACTGTTTTAGTATTATGGCAATAAAAAATTGTTTTCTAATGTCTTCACAGTATCTTAATTTTGAGATACCTACTCAGTCAACTATAATTTTAACCTCGACCATGATGATGTGATATTCTTAGAAAAAATACAGTAGACCTCAAAAAAAAACATTTTTTTTTTCACAAGTAGGTATCGCGAATAATTTTAAGAAGTTATGAAACACTTTTACCACGTCACATTTTTTTTGTTATATCATTACTATGTCATGCGACTTTTCAAATCAATATATCTCTGCAATGTTTATATAATGTGAAAAAAGAAAAAATACGTGTCCAATACTTTTTGATAATGTACCTGATAAGCGAAGAAAAAAAAATAGTCATCATCCCTGTTCCCTATTCAATTTAAATGTATAAAGAAAAGAAACCTTTTTTTTATTTCTAATTTGCCTTTTACTTGTTACTGGTGCTCTAGGTTTCAGGTTTCCCTAATTAACCGCCAGAAGTAGTTTGGTTCCATTTGCTTGATTCCATTCCATTTACAAATTCAAGGGAGGGGGGGGGGAGTACGACCCCCCCCCCTGGCCGGGTCCATCTGTACTCACTGTGACTTGACCACGACTATAGGACCCCCCCCCCCCCTGCGAAATCTGGATCCGCCCTTGTTTACAATTCCATTTTTCTTGATCTAAAATATACTTCCGGACACATCTATGGGCCCATTCAATGTTGTCAGTTTCAACGGTCTGTAGCAAAAATGTATTTTTATCAATTAATAATATCATTTATCGGCAGACAATACAAATCCATATGTTAGTACACATTATAACTTAACTTATAACTAAGTGTTAGTAGCCTATAGTAAGTATGTTTGTATTTATGTTTGAGGATTTCGGACAGTTTGTGTTTGAGGATTAATTTTAAAAACTAACGAAAAGATGGTTAACTAATCGGCTTCAAAATTGCAAGTAATAAGTTTTTGCTCAACGTAACATTTATTTTTAAATATGGGCCGTTAATAGGTACTTAAAATGCTACTGTTGTCTTACTGTGGTGGGCCGAAGATGTACCCGGAAGTGTAAAAGGTGGAATCGCTTTCGTTGTAATATATTGTCTTTTTTTCGACTTTTTGGTATGTAAGTATATATTATATAACCGGGAAATTTTCGCAAATATACGTATCATCAAATACAAAGTGTACAAATTCACACCTATACAAATTTAGAATTGATGCCAAGCATCAAACTAAGTTTAAAAATATGTATTTTTTCTGAATTCAAATATTCTACCTCATAAGGGTAGAATATTTGAATATTCTAGGGGGGCCGCCGCCGCCGTCTGTAAGGGAATTGTTTCCTTTGGAGATGGAGGCTGCAAGAAAGACAACCTCTTTAAAAATGACAGGGGGAGGTCTCGGCTGGCGTCCTAGGTAGGGTAGCCTGGGTAGCGGCAGTCGAGGCTTTGTTGAAGGGAACGGCAACGCCCTGTTGTGGTGGTGTGACTGCTTGTGGACGGTTGCGATACGAACTCTGTATCAGTTCCGGCCCGCAACCTCACACGTGGTGTGGGGCTGGGGGCCGCTACCCCTTAGGGTTGGGGTCGCAAAGAGTAAACCTTTGTCAAATATCACTCGATGAAGGCCAGGGTTTCCTTGCCCGGAAGAGAGAAACAATTGTGGTAATGTCGTACTTTAGTGATGGCACACTACACCGGGCGCTCTGATGCAGCTGGCCCCTAGAGTGCAAAACATGCCACTAGCGGTTTTAGGTAACAAGCGCTCTATGGACAATATGACGATGGGTCCGCTATAAATACTAAACTACATTCTACGACTAAGAGGAGGTGGAGGAGAAGGAAAAGAGGAGTCAGACGGGCTCGGTTATAAGAAGGGTGATAAATCGCCGGCAATGGCCTGCGCTGACGAGTCTAGGCTGTATGCCGAAGAGTGTAATATTCAGCACATAAAGGGGAAACAAATGGAGTTGGAACTCCAATTCCGAAAAAAGATCCTGCAGGGAACCTTAGTAGAGTGGAAACCCAGGTGTCAAAAGCAGCGGCTGTCTTGCTACTACAAAGACTGTCACTCACTGTCTGATATGCCCTTACCGTCAATTTTTGCCTTCCCCCTAGTTTGGTTTTGTATCTTCACTCTTTTCTTTTCCTCCCTTGACCTCTTCTATTTTTTTGTTCTTTCCCCCAAAAAATTGGTAGTGATGAATCTAACTTCCCACCCTTCGACACCGGCACTTAGACTCGACGGGACCAAACTTAATGGCAAACCAATTAGGTTTTCGAAAAGCTCTTTCAACGGTAGATGCGCTGATGGAATTAAAAAGTCACACTCAGCGAGCAGTGAATGGAAGAGAAAAGGTGGTGTCAGTGTCCCTGCAATGGACATCAAGAACGCTTCCAATACCATCCCCTTTCCGTGTTATAAAAGACGCGCTAAGCCATCACAACCTACCTTTTTAGGATAGTAGCAAATCATTATCATCATCAGCCGATTAATGTCCCCACTGCTGGGGCACAGGCCTTCCCTATGGATGGAATAGGGAGATTGGGCCATGACCCACCACGCGGGCCCAGTGCGGATTGGCGGGTGCTAACGACTGCAGATGCAGCCGGGACCAACGGCTTAACGTGCCTTCCGAAGCACGGAGGAACTCGAGATAGAAGATTTTTGGACACCCATCCAATGACCGACCACTGCGAAAGTTGCTTAACTTCAACGATCGCAGCCGAACACGCTAACCACCCGCGCCATCGAGCTCCTCAAATCTCAAAAATATTATACGCGGAGTCAAAAGGGGTCAATGTTAGGGCCGCTCCTGTGGAATCTTGATAGGATTTGTTCCTGCGAGGAGTACTACAGCCCCGGATGAAGGTGATCTGTTACGCTGATGACACCACAATAATAGCCCGAGGCAGTAGTTATGAGGACGCAAGACGTATAGCCACGATGGGGGCCTCGCTGGTGACAGGCCACATCAGGATGTTGGGTCTGGATGTTTCTGTGGCGAAAATCGAGGCAATGATATTTTACGGCCCTTGGACTAAATCACCTTTAGGGGCCCACATCAGAGTGGACGGGGAGATAATTCCTCCTCTAATTTTTGGTTTTTGACTGAAATTGATAATGAGTTGTTTGCCTTTTTCTAGTTATTCTCACCATAAAATAATAATTTATCTTTTCTCTAATTTTGTCAATTTAAATTAGGTAGGCACTTTCAACGAAATCGTCTTAAACCTTTGTCTTAAGAATTTAAAATTGTAAAGGTTTTGACAGTTGAGTGTCAGTGTCATTTTCACTATACTACCATATGTCATTCGTAATTAGTGATGTTACGGTCTTGAATTTTGACAAACCGGATTTGATCGGTTAGTAATACATGCAAATCGGTTTCCGAACCGAACCGCCGAATTTTCAGTAAACCGCGGTTTGAACCGGTTTGAACCGTTTGATGAGTTGACGAATGAAACTTACGAAACAACAGGTGCTATTTTTTTTAATTCTACGTATTTTATTGATATTACATCGTGCAAATATTTAAAGGTAATTGAAAAATAACAATTAAAATATGAAAACAAATAATAATAATCAGAATTAAAAATGTCAAAATAAAAATAAACAAATACCGTGTTTAAAAAATTACAAAAAAAATATATAAACTCTATTAATTACATAAAATCGTACTTCTTAACTTTGAGAATAAAATACAATTTTAATAATCAACAATATAATAAATACGTAACTTATTTTTGTAAAATCATTTGAGTCGTAGAAACTTTCTTTGGTACAAACAACAATTAAAAAGTTTTCTTACAACTATTTAGGAATAATATTTGGTCTATTTTTTTAGAAGCTGGGCAATTACGTCGCATATTACATAATAATGAAAACAAAATTACACCGTCAAGTTAGTCAAATCTACCAGAGTCCGTTTCATTTCGGTTCGGTCGGTAAGTCGGTTATGGCTGTTGTATTTAAATTGTCGATGCGCGCTAACCGTATCCGCTGCTGTAAGTCGGTTCGTATTGGTCGGTCAAGTTTTATTAGGGTCGGTAAAGCACGTCAGGAGCCGCACGCGATTTGTGGATGGCGGCATAAACAAGAATTGACAGGCGCGCGTGCGCGCAGCGCGATACGAACGAATGCCACAGTAGAACCGGTTTACAAAGACGTTAACCGATTCAACTCGGTCCATGCTCAAACCGGTTTGAACCGGTTTGAAAAGTCAAGTCGTTGCATCTCTATTCGTAATGTCATTGTCACGAAGACGGAGAGCAACAAAGTAGAAAAAAAAACTGTTCTACTGTTCAAAGTTGTTCAAAAATACATAATATTATAAATATTACACCGAAGTTCTGTAGACATGACTGGTTTTTAGATTACAAGAACATGTACTTATACGTACCTTTGTAATAATAGCGATACTAAGAAAATAAAAGTGAACTTTCCTGCAAAGTTACAAGAAAGAGGACTGCAACATGTTTCTCTCTAAATATTTTATTGTGAGATCAAATCTTTGGCGTAATTACTTTAGGAAAGAAGCTTTCAGTAGTTGTTTATTTACTTCAATAAGAAACTACGGTAAGCTTATGTACACAACATAACCTAAAAATAAAATAAATTTCTTATGTTCAATAAAAGATAAATAACGCTTTACTCTAGCAGGTGCACCTTTTGGGACCAAACCAAGCTCCTGGATACTTTGTTTTACTAATTCAGAATATCAACATCATACAAAAATCTCCTTTTCATCAAAACATATAAAGTTTAACTCAAATGATTTAAGTCAAGGTGAAGAAATAAGTAAAGGTATTTCTTTTGTAAATATTTTTTGGGCCTACTAATATCATTTGTTTCATCAATAATCTAATTTAATATTCTTATGAAAATGTTAGACTAAATTAAATTATAAATTACTTTACAGAATTAATACATATATCAAAGCTTTTTCCACAACCTAGAGTAACATTGAATGAACTCTCTGCTAAGACACCACAGAAAATATTTGATATTCACTATAAGCAAATAGCTGTCAAAACTAAAGGCACCAAAAAGAAAATGGTACAGGGTGACTGGGTCTGTACTTATGCATTCATATGGCCTGAAAAAAATAAATTTGAAAGGTAAAATAGCTGTAAGATGTATAAAAGTTTCATATGAATGGTTGTCAGGGCTCAGCATATTTGATTTAATATTTTTTTTATTTTTCATTTAACCTTAAGTCATAATGGAGGCATGCCTGTTAGTCGTCAGTAAAAATAAAGTTAGTCAATTCATTTTATAGTTATGTAGATATGAACATATTACATTCTATTCATGAACATCATTCATCTGTACCAAGATGAAATGGGGACTCAGGTACTTACCCAATAGAAGTGAATTTAAAGAATAAATATTATTTCATGTGTTTGTGACATGAAACATGCAGTTAATGATACAAAGTAAGCATTGCCTATATTATAAACAGTATGCATAACATACAGTATGTAGGGTCAGTTCGCCTGTTCGCGTCCATTTAGTGCAGTTGGAAAGTTTGACGGCGATAATAAAAATATCCCAGCACTAATTTCTATGAAAAAATTATGTAATGTGTTCATTATATAGTCTATTTTAAGATTAACTTTCAGTTTTGTTCGAAACATCTATTGTTTTTTATTTAAATAGATAAACTTCGGAATAAGGCGTTTTACCCACTTTGCGTCCACAAAATCCACATTGCGTCCACCCGTGGACCATTTAGCGTCCACCACCTTAGAAAAGGAATATAGGGGTGATATTTTTAAGAATTTGTATAGAAAGATTGTACCTATTTTAACAATTTCTTTATTTTAAAATATAAATATTAAAACCAACATTATTATCATTAAAATTATCACTTTAAAAAAATAAAAAATATTCTTCTCAATACTGATTGAATTTAAAATTATATAAGTAGTAGATAAATAATGATTGCATCTTTAAAAATAAACAGTAATCAGTTCTGTTAATTTTACCCTAAAATCACAAGGTATGTTTTTCTCATCGTCGTCTTCTACATCTGAAATTAGTATATCGTCACATTCAGAAAATATTCTTTCTTAAATTCCTGATTTACCATTTCCTGTGTGACTTCTTGAAGGGCATGTATCTTCTTCTTTCGTTTTGGAGCAGTTTTACGAACCGTTTGAGAGTGTTTTAAACTCTGTTCTTGTTTCTCTATTCGTTCTAACTTTCTTTTTCGTATTGCTTCCTGCTTTTCATTGTTGATCTGCTCTTTATCTTCTTAATACTTACTCCATGCAGCAGAAGATATGGTTGCTAGAGTTCTTTGATTATCTTTTCGTGCTTTGTTAAAAATTTCGGGTAGCATCAGGTGGTGTCTGGTCCCGGTTTCTTTACTTCATTTGGTCTGCGCCCACTGATTTTGTACAATATGTCTATGTGTCTTACCGATTTATTCTATTCTCGAATTTCATTTAACGCTTTCTTTAAATCGTCTTTTGTGTATCTTTTCCTTCTACTTTCTTGTCTCCGAAGAACTCATCTCAAATAGAAGAAAAATAAGAATGAAACAAATAAAGTATTTAATTGATTGATTGATTGAAAATACTCATTTCATTTATAAATAGCATTAAAAACACGTAGTCTTAATAAAAATATATAATAATAATAATCAATACCTATATTTTAAATTATAATTAATTAATTGTATTTAACGAAAATAGTGGACGCAATTTGGTTTATTATTATCCCCTGTAGGTATAGTTTGCGTCCATTGCGGACGCAAATTGGCAGTTTTGTAATTTCGATGTAGTAATTCGCGTCCACCTTATTTTATTCATTAAATATAAAAAACATAAGAAAATTTATAATTAATATCATTCCTTTCTTCACTATAAAAGTCAAGAAACAGCTATGTATCCTTAAATTAACATAAAAAAATAAAAAACTTACCACCGAACGCGCCGCTGCACACTATTTTTTATCTAAACATCCCGCGTGTACGCACTCCCTTGATGAATAACCGAGACTAATTATTTTTTTTAAACGGGATTGTTTGGCGCACCTACCTTTTGACCATGTGTTCGTGTCTCTTATATATTAAGGTATTAGCGGTAATTACTTTTCGTTTGATTGGTGTGTTAGTTTACTTATTTTTGAGGATTTTTATGGGATATCCGTAAAATGGACGCGAATTGGGCGATGGACGCGAACAGGCGAACTGACCCTATAACATAAATTTATTAAGAAGCCACTGAAGTCTGTATCATAGATTTTACCACAGCAAACTGCAAAGATTCATGTGTTTCTTAGGTTTTCACGCACATCACTAATTAAATAAAATTATCATTTTTGCAAAGATTCATTTTTTAATTAAATATGCTTGAGATTCTAATAAATCTTATAATTATAAATTGTTTCTTTGTTTCATTTACAAAGGTTTGTAAATGAAATATTGATGTGGATAAATTTTGAGACATAGGAATTGCATTGTCTGATTTAATATAGGGCACTATTTACCTCATGGAAATGACTATAGAGACAAAATTCTAAAGCCCACATAGATGAAACTATTAGTAATCACATAAGGTATTAATAACTTTGACAGTTAAATATAAATGTTATTCTACAGCACAGCTTTGTCAAAACGGCAGGCAGCCGAAAAAGCTGCCACAATGGCACTCCACTGGCTATACATGAACAGACATATTGATGGAAAAGGACTCCCCATATATGACCAGAATGTCTTAGATGATCTTCGTAGTTCAATAAACAAGCCACTTGAAGCGAGTATCAGTGATAACTCTGTTGCAAGAATTGAACGGATCTGGAGTGATTACAACACAGGGATAAGTATGTAGGTTTGTTTCTGTTATATTTTATTATAATTTTACACCATGTGAATCTATTTTTTTTGTACCAGAGGCCCAAGCATTAACTTTGACAGTCTGTAATCATATCACATCATTAAAGTTTCTATCAAAATTAAGCAGTGCTTCTATGTACGTACATACTTTTAATACTAGGAATTAAAACAAAAATAAGTTACCATTGTACAGGTAAAATAAAGTTCATGGAATATTTATGGGTCAAAGTAAACATTTCTTTTATAAGTTGAATTTAAAACCATTTTAAAATTGCTTGCTTTTGAGAAAGGAAATTATACTGTTAAACAATAGTTGTATGATAAAACCGCCTGGTTGTGATTGTTACTTCAGAAAAAATTCAAAGTTGTATTAAACTATCTAACTTGCCTCCTCCAGAGGAGTATTGAAGAGAACCTTGCACTTAGCCGAAACTTGCTCATATATTTTGAAAATTGTTTACTGGATACTTCGGGGCTTTTGTATATCGTGTTATCTAAGTTGGGCTTTCACTTAAATGCATGCAATGCATTGTTTTCGATCATGTGACATTAGATAACTAATGGAAGGAAGTGACCTTATATATTATATTATGGTTATAGAAATTGTTAAAAAAATAAATATAACAATATCGTAAAGTTGTTCTTTGCCAAGCAACTTGTCCATGCTGAGCCTATTTTGGGCATTTTCCTTTCATCCAAATCCGTTAAGTAGTTTTTGCATGGTTGAGTAACAACAAACAATAAACTTTCATATTTATAATATTAGTAGGATCGACAATAAAGTGTATTCATAAGAAATGGAAGTTGGCTAACAAACTTAACAAAGTATCCATTACACAGTGATATGAATAGTTAAAAATCGTATTTATTTTTTACTATTACACCACAACATTATCATACTTCAAACAGAGTTGAAATTTTATCCTTTCTTTTCAGTGCCAATATATGAAGAAACTTTTAAAGCAGCAACAAGGAAATCAAACATAAGTCTCATGCTAGTCAAAGATTCCAGTATAGATGAAGGTGCGAAAATGTTTTACCTATTAACCACAAGTTTGCAAGTATTTAAACTTACTTATATTGAGATTAGTTACACGGTGTTTGGTTCATATCCCTCAAGTACCATATGTAATTCAATGTACAGAGACAAAACATAGAGTAACTAAACCAAGCTTACTTTTCGTTTATTATTAAAGGGGATATAGGTGTCGCTTCTGGCATGATTCTCTAAACCTGAACTTAAAATTGACAACAGTGTAGGTACCTATCCATGTCATTCTATATACAGAAAGAAAAGGAGAGACTGATGTTGAATTTAGTTTTAGGTTTAGAGAATCTTGCCAGAATCGATACCATAGTTTACCTTCGTATTTCTGCATTCCTTTAATTAATGAATAGAAGAGCTGATAGTCTAACTTGTTCTTGCATAAAGCATTTATTCAACAAGCTCTCGATCAATGTTAAGTGTAAGCCACCACATTCACCAACAGAAACACAACCCTACAAAAATCTAGTGTTATTTTCATACTAGCGGGCGCCCGCGACTTCGGCCGCGTTATCTTTAGCCTAGTCAGGGTAGGTAACAGTGCGAGTGACAGTTTTGGTATCGCAAGCGTCTATAGGCTATGATAGCAATTGACCATCAGGCGGGCGATATACTTCTTTAGCTAGCCCTTTAACATAAAAAATCTGCCAATGGCCAGGCTTGCATACCTCTTTATTTAATTTGTTTTTAAAACGTGCTTGGAAACGTATATTGTCTTGTTTTAATTGAATTGTTATTATGTAGGCCCATTTATGTAGGCCAATCAATGTTTGTTACATTTTGTTCTCATATTGTTTTTAATGACATACTTACATAAATAAAAAGAGACTCATCAAAATTTCAATTATTCAAAATTATTCAACATTTCAAATATTTATACAAAATCTTGTTTATCCCTGTTACAGTTGTGAGATTTAATTAAAAATCTACTCAATATAAAGTTTTATAACGTCGTGGAAACTGATGTGGCTTATATATAAATGAAATATTTTGTACTCAAATGTATTATAATAAGGCTGTATGTTTTCTTTAAATATAAAAGTAAAAAAAAATATGTATTAAATTTTTATGTTTGTTCTAGATGATTTTTCGGAAGACGAAGGCCCTTCAGAAGCCGGCGCGGACATTTTCGGTGAGTGTTTAAAGTTTGTTTAGATTTAAAACTCTCTCATTTTGCTATGAAAATAGTATGCTGTTTGAACCAAATGGGCAATTTTATTAGTCACAACCATTATTCGCTAGAGTTAAATAAATAGTTCTTAATGAAAACAGTTAGGTGGCTAATTTCGGCGAAAACCTTGAACCCACCATATGCCCCTAATCATTTCTAGATTATCATGTATTACTTATTTTAACATCCTATTGAAATGCATGAAACTATGTATATGTTGCAGGAGGATTATATAAATCGAATTTTCACGAAAATCCTAGATATTTTGCAGAACCGAGGTTAATTAGACAAAGGCGATGACATTTCTCAGTCTTACTGAAAAAGATAGAATTTTCGCGGAAACGCGAGTCGCCTGTAAGATTGCGAAAAAAATCTTTGTCTTATTATAAATATTCTTGTTAGTGTAGATACCATGACGCGCGAGCAGAGCGAGCGTAGCGAGCATGCCATGGGAGCAGCCAACGAGGTTCCAGAAAAAAATATTGTTATCAGGAAGATTGAGCAATATCATCGTCATTGTCTAATTATCTGCGTTTTGACAAAATCCCTAGGATTTTAGCGAAAATTCGATTTAATAATCATCATACGACGAAAACAATACTTTTCTATCAATATATTACAGACAGAATGCCAGCGGCTAGTGCGCAAATAGTAAAAGACCATCAACGATCAGAATTGAACATATTTTTTGAGCCTAAGTCTTGTTATGTATTTCTCATTCTCATACTCGCGCTGTCTTGATGCAAAAACGATTAAAAGTTTTTTTTTTATATTTATAATGAGTGATGTCTGGAATGACGGGAGCCAGTTGGCAGCACTGAGACGAAAGGTCTATTCATCCGTCAAATCACCTACGTTGTCATAGTTTATGGATCAATTTAAATGCTTGTTCGATTAATTCGAGCAAAGAACTGCATACACAAGACCTCATGTCACAGTGGCGCCAACTGGTGGCGCAAATTTTCGTTAACACCCTCATTATGTTACATACTTAACTACACTTCACTCTCATATATACTCACAACACACATAATCACACCACACTCTCAACAAATCATACTCACATACTTAACAAGCAACTAAATGTGGGGACTACCTACTTACTTGAAGATTTTCTTGTTTTAAATTGTGCAATTAATATATATATACATATATATATCGTTTAAATACATATTTTTGTACTGGCTACAAAGGTTTTGGCCCGAAACAGGCCCAACACAAGCATTTTACAATAACTTACCGGGACCGTTTCATCATTGCTAATTGTATGCACTTTTGTTAATAAAAATACTTTTTATTTATTTATTTTTATGTTAATACAGAAGGCCAATACATCCATCCCGTGTATGGCAGGAACATAAGCCCTCCATCCCCACAAGCGGTAAATCGACGCGAATTGCTCCTTAAGAAACACTTCGAAAGCTACGACGAAGATCTCACGCCGCTGCCTATCGATGAATACACGTAAGTAATAAATAAAAAAAACGAACGATCCTTACAGTAGTCGCGTATGATGTGTAACATTTGAAACCTCACCTTATATTAGTAAAAAAAGAAATAAAACCTACAAAAGGAATAAGACATTTGAACGGAAAGTGACTTCATGAGTTATCTCATATTGAAGTCATTTTTCAAATTGACGACTCTGTATATAATACAGGGAGAAAAAAACAGCCCTTGCTGAGTTTCTTGCCGGTTCTTCTCAGTACAAGGTCTCCCGCCGTAGATTTGCGAACCGATGGCGTAGCTTTTCGACATTCACAAGTGCTTGTAACAGCCTAGACTGAATAAACGATATTGAATTTTGAATTATTTTTTTGAACATTATGTTCTTAAATCAAATCAAATAGCGCGCGCTTTCGCGAATTCCTGTTACACACTTCCGTCCCATTTCACGAAATCACTCCCACAAATTGCAGGAAAGCGAGAGGAAAGATTTAACACATCAATACATATTTCTAACGCACACCAATAACCTAGCCCCAAAGTAAGCACTGTAAGGCTTGTGTACTGAGATACTAGGGTAACGGATAGAAAACATAATATACTGATACATATATGAGTATCGATATGAGGAGCTCGGTGACGCAGGTGGAAAGCACGTTCGGCCTGCGACGTGGAAGTTAAGCAACTTTTGCAATGGTCGGTCATTGGATGGGTGACCAAAAACTTACTATCTCCGTGCTTCGGAAGGCACGTTAAGCTGTTGTTCTCGGCTGCATCTGCAGTCGTTAGCACCTACCAACCCGCACTGCGCCCGCGTGGTGGGTCATGGCCCAATCTCCCTATTCTATCGATAGTGAAGGCCTATACCCACAGATAATAGGCTAATGATGATGATATAACTATATTTATCTAGAAATAAATATAAACATCCATGGCTTAGGTACAAATACCACTTTGGTTAATATGTAATTTGAATGTTTAGTCGACCAATTCAATACAGCAGACAAATTCAATCATTTACCCCAACCAGGATTCTAACCCTGGGGGACCTCAGAGTAACCGACACCTTATAACCCGGCGTACATATCACTATAGCCACGGAATTCCTGATTCCTATTAATACCCACATACTCAATACCTAGATTTTGCCTGGTATTTTTCCTGCATCCTGGAAAAATGGGAATATTATCCCAAATCCGAAAAACCTATTCCTACGTCTTTTACCGAATATCTTCCTATTTCCATTCTTCCCTTTCTCCAAATCCGTTTGACGAGAGCTTACAGCTTTTGCAGTAAGCGACACCTTACAACCCGTCGTACATGCCACTTTAGCCATGGAAATCGTCAAAGTCAAGAAACACGACCCGAAAACCTTACAACAATATCCTACTCCTTCCTTAAAGGCCGGCATCATATTTGTGATACTCCTGGTGTTTCAGATGTGTATGGGCGGCAGTGATTACTTACCATAAGTACCCTTAGCACGAACCAAAATCGAATTTGAACAGTTGAATTCGATCTCGATACGCGTCTAATGTCAAGATCTTTCATACAAATCTTCTTGACATTATACCTGGTGTGAGACCAGGCGATTTAAATTAATTAACTAAGCTTTATCGTTCAATTGCTTTTCTTCACTTTGATTGAAAGTTTGTTTAGACGGTTGAAATGGTATGCGATTTCGCAGTTGATCAACTAAAATCGCCTCGTGCGAAATGAAATGAAATTATACTTTATTTAAATTGACTTATTAAAAGCTCTTTTGAATCGTCCAATATTTTTCCTACCACCCATTCAGGAAATCTTTTAGCTGAATAGAAGAGTGGGCGCAAGAAACTCATCAGCATTTAACAGACGTAGTAACATTTACAAAAAAAACATGTCGCTACCATAACAAAACGTCCACTCACATCTTGATTGCTGTGTCATATTCATACAGTAAATACAAACAGTTTTCTATTAGGTATTAATCATTCAATATTAGGTATAAAAGATAACATCTCAATAGTAACACTATATAGAGCAGACTTATCGTCCCTGGCAGCACCCGTTCATGAGCATGACGCATGAACCAGCCATCGCATCGCTCAACCATATTTTAGGGAACGTAACGACCCACCTCACACAACACCGAACCTCGTATTAGACGCGTATTGAGATCGAATTCGATATTGGTTCGTGCTAAAGGCACTTGTAAGCTGTCCGCTCGTATGTCCCCGAATATATATAGAATAGGAATTTACGAATTAAAATGTAAATTTGGTTTTCCTCGAGCAAGCATTTTTGCCCGAGGCCGAGGCCTCTTGTATTCCCCATCACTGAATATACTACAAAATTATTTTATACCTGCCAACGTTCACCCCCCGATTATGTTTTATTTTCTTTAATGTATTAAGAAATAAATAGTTAGTTCATCTTAGCAATTCCTTGATATATTATAATCATTTTACCGGGAAAGAATTTATCACTCTTTAAAAAATTAACGTTAGATAAATTTCTAAACAGTCTATAAAACGACTATATTTAATCTTCACACAATCCTTGTATGAATCTTTTATCACGGTTCACGTGCGCTACTTCTATACTTCCTTGTGATACCTTTTTTAACATACAATACAATAACACAACTCTTTACTGACAACATCATAACACAGTAAGTACTCAGAAATATGGTAGTATAAATAGTAAGTATAAATCGCTACAACTCTGTGATAAGGGACACCCAAAGCCGCTATATCAACAAATCTGTTGAAAATTAAGATCCAGCTAAATTCTGGACTAAAATCTCTTGGGGTTGGCAAATCTCGTAGCAATAATCTTATAAATAATCTTGATATTTCCCAACTTAACCGTAACTATTCCACTTCCTTGTCTCTTGATGGCTGCCGTAAGGTAAAAATCCTTCTTATGTAATAAGGCCGCCTATATTTTGGTCGTTCTGTCTATCATGTTTTGTTTCTTTTGTACCCTGTGTGGTGTACTACAATAAAGTGTATTATTACGAAGTATGAGTGTCTCAATGGACGGAATTTCATCTCCAAAGAAAACTTTAATGCAAATTAAATTACTCATAATATCGCTTGATTTGTACTCACTTTCACTTTAACAATAAAATTCAACAAAAGCACACAATATCTAAGGATATTGTTGCGATAATTCCGCACAATAAGTATTCCATGCAAATAAAAAAATAACTTTTTTTCTCAGTGTAAGAATTCTTTGATAAAATTGTTGGTACATAAAAATCAAGAGTTATAAACTTTTTCTCTTACGAATAATTCACAAAAAGTCGATATATTCATGGATTTTTTTTTGTACTTGTAACTTTCGTTTTTTTATGTACTTACCAAATTCTTTATCAAAGAATTCTTAATCTACAATCAATTATGTCTTAACCCGAGAAATTAAACAAATACCCGAACATTTAATTTTACCCTTTATTACCTACAAAGCTACGAAATTTTTATTTAGTCATATTCATAAAATATTATTAGTAGCGACTTTATCCGCGTTAACTTTTGTTTCTTAAAAATCCCTCAGGGAGCTAACACTTTTTCGAGATTAAAAGGATCCTATGTCTCAATCTAGGTCATAATCTATATGCGTACGAAATTTCATCCAAATCCGTTATATACTTTTTGGGTGATAGAGTAACCAACATACAAGCTTTCACATTTATAATTTTAGTACGATAGAAAGATTTATCATCTCATCACAGGTCAGGTCAATAGCTACCTACCTCCTTGTAACAACCTCGACCTACCAACCGTTTGACCTTGTTGCGTTCCCGATTCGTGTACACGTGCCACATAGGCCGCGCGGCCGCCCCCGTGTCCTCAATACGGAACGCTGAACGTAACAAACGCCCTTGAATCCTAGTTACTGAAGGCGCGACCTTAAAACGCGACCGATGGTGACCTTGGCCCGTGTCGCGACCTTTAGGACGCGGAAACGGGGCTAATCGGATGGCCCCGTTTCATCGACTTTCCTGTGGGATGAAATCTGTGACAGATGTAATGAGTGAGGCGCAAAACTCCAGTAAGGGATAGGCCTATCATAAGAGCTCGTTGCCTTAATATAAATAAATATTTCCAACACTCACACCAACTAGCCTAGGCCCAAAGTAAGCACTGAAATTCTTGTGTTATGGGATACTAGGGTTACGGATAAAAGACATATACTGGTACATACATAAGAATATTTTATGTAGAAATACATATAATACATTCGTGACCTAGGCACAGACGCTCGTATTCATCACACAAATATTTGCCCCACCGGGATTCGAACCTCTTGAGTAGATGACGCCATGTTCCCGGCGTGCATACTACTCGGCCACGGAGGTTGGTATTGGACCTCGATCGCCAGGTTATATATTATTTAGTTTATAATAACACCGGTTGCTAAGAAACTTATCGTTTACTGAAGCCTAATTATTGAAACAGAAAACTGAAATTTCCCTACCTCACTTTTAGCTTGGTCTTGCTTGCTTCAAGAATATTTAAAGACATTTTCACTATATAAAATTCAAGATAGTGAATTAATTAAATCTGTTCTACTCAAAAATAGGTAATGTTTTTTTTTTTTATTAATGAAGCTTTATTGACCAATACATTAAGAAGATACAAGAGGCGGACTTTATGCTAAAAACCTAGATATATATACGTGAAACTTTAATGCTAAAAAAATCGTAACCATTCTGAGACTAATCTCTTCTTTCACAGTCTAAGAGAAATTGTTTACTATACTTTGTCTGGGTTGCGGTGGTAAAACAACTTTTGCAGTTGCTGTTAACTAAATGGTTTACCCGTAATATATCTTGATTTCTAGATACAACAGACAACCTTAAAACGGTGAAAACTACAAAGGCAACCCACAGTCTAATAGCAGGAAACAATACCGAACCAAGTATATTTAAAACTACTGCTACTTTAAATTTTTGATGTCTCACAGCTTAAACTAATAACTTTAATTTTAAAATGCCCTAAGATACGTAGCCTACAACGTTCCCTGTCCATCCATACCCATTCTATGACGTCGCATCCTCACTTTCAGTTTGGCCAACGTCATTCGGTTGCAACGAAACGTACACGATCTAACGTCACTATACAGCCACTGTCCCTTTCTAACGCCGCCAGTGCTGTTGAAAGTGCACCGAAAATGTGGAGTAGAGAGCGACTCGCGACCTCGATACCTCCGAACCGCGGCGGCGCGACCTAGTTCGCCCCAGTGAAATCGCCAACCCGAAAGTTTTCCGTCGAAAGTGTAATCTTTCCAATTGCACTCTCGTTTCGTTGCTGTTCAAATTTAGAACGCTCGGCTTTAAATTTTTAATACCATTACATTCTTCTTTGCTGAGGTTCATTTTTGCTAGAGTTTTAGATTGTCATTTGTTTTGCGTTCCTATCTGTAAATTGGGAATGAACATTATAAAATTACTGCTAAAAAGAGCCTATCTATTACAAACATTATAACTGGGATACATTGTATTTCATTTTCATCATTATAGTAATGTGAATTCGACTTGTCAGAATTTGCAGTCGAATAGTAAACGTTTTTTTTTATATTTGTTTTTGATCCGAGTTTTCCCCGCTTTTAGCTATTCTCTTGAAATTAGAACAATTGTTAGTAAGTAATGCGGCTTGCTTTGCACTTTTAACGATGCTACGATGCTCAGAGAATCAGAATTCATGGGAAAGTGCTACTTTCACTGTACTAAATGTTTACGGTCGAGGAGGTGTAGGACTAGCATGTGTGTATACATTCTCAGTAGATTTAATGACTTACTAGTTATGACTCGATATTTACAGACGTCACATCTTTTTGCAATGTTTATAGTTTTCCATTACTCTACATTGTTCAATACTATTTTTATCATTGCTAATGTTTACTTCGTCACTGTTGTACGTCACACCACACCTACGTCACGACGTGACGATGCTATCGAATCGGCGTTTGCAGAAATCGAAAGTGCATTCGACATCGAAAGTGACTCTCGATTTCTTTCAACGTTTATACGTCAGACAGTGACGTAGACACTATACTTTCCTCACTCTCGGTTTCGTGACAGCTGACAGGCTGACGTAGTAGTACCTATGTCGAGAGCGGTAAAAGTGGGTTTGTGTGCCAACAGATTTTGACAGACGTCTGCCCACTTTCCGTGTGATGGTATAAGGCTTATCAGAGAGAGAGAGATATCAGTCTCGAGTACGATTTTGAAATGTTGTCTTGTATGAAAACAGCATCTCAAGATCGTAGTCTCAGTGTTAAGAGCGATCTATTAATACCTTAGGTTGTAAACTGTTCTAATGGCCTGGCAATATCTTTTCGAATTGAAGATGACAATCACTCTAAGTTTCATGGTAGCGTGATGCATCTGACATAGGAACTCATATCAATCCTGCCCACTTTCCGTGTGATCGTAAAAACCTAATTTAAGTTTGTTAACACATGTTTCCAACGGCCTGTCTGTCGAAAGTTTTGACACAAATATTGATGACTAGAAACAACGATACCACTCGACTTGTTTTGTTGAAGAAAATTGAGATAGTCCTTGCTTATGAAATAAGATCGTGGTTAATCATAAGTTCTCTCATGTATTAGCTAACCACTTAAAAAAATAAGTGCACAATTAACCAAGGAGATGTCAGCAAAGCATTGAAATCCTTGTGATAATCCATCATAGATGATCATACCTTCAGATAGGTTTTCATTGGCCTCGTTAAGTAGATGGTAGACTGCTGCATGCCTGACGTTGATCGGGGTTTGTTCCTTACAGACTTATAATGGGTGCTTAGGCTAATAAAATTTACCAAAGAATATACTGAAATCAGAATAAGGAATCATCGAAAACAAGGGATTTCATAAGCGCATTTCACGTAGCAGTCTTCAATGAGCTTTTCATTTAATACCCTGCACGAAACATTATCTAATAGTTGAATTCCATCTCGATACTCGGAATCATATATATGATAATCTATATATAAGATACAATAATAATAACCGGAAGATTTTTAATTCTTGTTACGTCCGTTGTGGCGCTGTTCAAATTTCCATACAAAACTTCTTGACATTTGACACGTTTCGAGATCGAATTCGAATTAGGTTCGTGCTAAGGGTGCTGTTGTGTGAAGATATCCATACTATATTGCTAGGGAAAAGGGAGCTCATCTCACAATCATAGGTGGAAGGAAGAGAGTCAATTCCAATTTCCTTCCGCATTTTGCAAATTTTCCCAAGGGAAAACCAATTCCGATTTTCGTGATACTAAAATGATTAATTAAAAAACCTATCGCAATGACAGTTCTGCTAATTAACGACACGCTGTTTATAATAGGTGCCCTTTTTTCAAAACGACTAAGTAGCCGATATATAATCCGCTTAAATCAGCAATGTGCTTGTACAATCTGTCTGCTTCTATTGTTTTATTACAAGCTTGCTTATGGCCAGTTTTATGAAGCACCTCCAGTTAAAGGTTAGGATTATCTCAAAATCAAAAATCAAAATCGTTTATTCAGCACAGTACACGGATACAGACAAATAGTTATGCCATCGAAAACATAACTTGTAAAAAAACAAGTCCCGCAACTCAGTTCTACTTCTTCTACTGTCAAAAGTTGTGACATCCATGTTATTCCAAGACGGTTTATTTATTCGGTTCCTACTTAAGGAATCTTCTGTCTTGAGTTATTACGAAATGAGCTCACCTAACAACATCTTATTCTGACCATATCAATATTAAAAATCTGGTATGTTTTAAATAAATAAATAGACTTGGCAATCGCATGAAAACACAATGTATCTCACATATTATATTAAATTAGATTGTTGAGTGCGTTTGCCTAGTCAATTGCACTAAACTCTGCCGTACCCCCGGAAAGTTATAATTTGACAAAATAACAAAAAGGGACAGGAAACTTAAAATAAAATAAATACAACTTGACATGAACTATACTGGTGTCGATTCCGGCACGATTCCCCAAACGCAAACTGAAACCTAACAACAGTGTATTTCTGTCACTCCTTATACAGAATGAAAAGGAGAGACCGATGCCAAATTCAGTCCTAAGTTTAGATAATCGTGCCAGAATGGACACCACTATCCGTATCCACAGCTGCGCTGAAAAGGGCCCAGCTCAGCATTGTGTCAGTGCAGTGTGCACTGGATTTCAACTGGGTCCTTTACCTAAGAATCTCTCAAAATCGCATTTTTTCCCCTGGAAATAGTTGGTATTATAATCAGAATATTGTAAATATCTAGGCAACAAGACTCTTATAGGCCTTTCTAGAGTTTGATTTATAGAAATTGACCGTTAGTTTTTAACCTACTTCAAAAAAGGAGAAGGTTCTGTTTTCGACTGTATATATACTCATATATATTATATGTATGTTCACCGATTTCTCCGTCAATTGTGGACCTAAAAAGTAAAAAATAATATTTGGTTCATGATTTGGAAGTCGGGCTGGGTCAAGATTGAAACATTAAACATTTGACGACCTCCGTGGCCGAGTGGTTTGTACGCCGGGTTTCATGGTGACGCCGACTCGAGAGGTCCCGGGTTCGAATCCCGGTGGGGGCAGATGTTTGTGTGATGAATACGAGCAATTTGTACTCCAGTCATGGATGTTTAATTTCTATTTATGTATAAATATACTTATATATGTACAGTATATGTATTCTATCCGTTACCCTAGTATCCCATAACACAAGCCTTATAGTGCTTACTTTGGGGCTAGGCTAATTGGTGTGAGTGTTGGAAATATTTATTTATTATTTATTATTAAATAGATTTTCGTTTCTGATCGGTAATAATACGTCTTTCAATCTTGATCCACCCGACTTCCAAATCTTGAACCAGATATAATTTTTTACTTTATAATTCCATTTTCGATTTTGAAGTCAGTTTTATTTATTTTTTTGGGACAACATCATTTGTAATATTTGTCCAGAACTTATTATTAATTCTTGGTCACAGGTCTACAATTACATCAGCGATAGACAACAACCGTGTCACAATAATCGTAGGCGCAGCAGGATGTGGAAAGTCGACTCGCACGCCGGCAGCCATCTTGAAGCACTGTGGCGCCAATACTAGCGCTATAGTATCGGAACCCAGAAGAGTGGCCGCTATTGGGCTCGCTCAGAGAGTAGCCAGCGAATTGGGCGATGAAGTGAGTTTAATTATTGAATTAAATTTAACTATTATTATTGAATAATAGTAGGCGCCTGCGGCCATCTTGAGGCACCGTGGCGCGAATACTAACGCTACAGTATCGAAGCCCAGAAGGGTTGCCGCTATTGGACTCACTCAGCGAGTTAGAGGATGAAGTGAGTTCAATTCAGCAATAATCGTAGGCGCAGCGGGATGTGGTATGCAAGCAGCCATCTTGAGGCACTGTGGCGCCAATACTAACGCTATAGTCTTAGAACCCAGAAGAGTTGACGCTATTGGGCTCGTTCAAAGAGTATCCAGCAACTTGTGAGATGAAGTGAGTTTAATTTAATAATAATAGTCTCAAGTGCCGGCGGCCATCTTGAGGCGCTGTGGCGCCAATACTAAAGCTATAATATCAGAACCCAGAAAGTTGACGCTATTGGGCTCGTTCAAAGAGTATCGAGCAAATTGTGAGATGAAGTGAGTTTCATTTAATAATAATAGTCTCAAGTGCCGGCGGCCACCTTGAGGCGCTGTGGCGCCAATACTAAAGCTATAATATCAGAATCCAGAAAGTGGACTCTATTGGGCTCGTTCAAAGAGTGTCCAGCAAATTGTGAGATGAAGTGAGTTTTATTTAATAATAATAGTCTCAAGTGCCGGCGGCCACCTTGAGGCGCTGTGGCGCTAATACTAAAGCTATAATATCAGAACCCAGAAAGTTGACGCTCTTGGGCTCGTTCAAAGAGTATCCAGCAAATTGGGAGATAAAGTGAGTTTTATTCAATAATAATCGTAGGTGCCGGCGGCCAACTTAAGGCACTGCGGCGCCCATACTAACGCTATAGTATGGGAGCCCAGAAGATTTGCCGCTATTAGACTCGCTCAGCAAGTTGGAGGATGACGTGAGTTTAATTCAAAAATAATACTAGGTGCTGCGAAATGTGGTACGTAAGCAGCCATCTTGAGGCACTAATACTAACGCTATAGTTTCGAAAGTGGATATGGCACGCCGGCAACAATTCTGAGATAATTTACTGTGCCAATGTACATACATCACATAAAAAAGCCCATACGTAAATTCGAATGCAGATCTTTTTAAGCAAAAAGTAGAAGCTCATCGGTTGCACCAACCGATATTTCCATTGTTGGGTGAATCTTATCTGTCGAATAAATGTACCCAATCTTAAACAAACAAAGAAGTTTGTTTAAGATTGGGTACATTTATTCGACAGACTAAGGAAAGCCTTAGTCTTCAAAAAATCAACCCTTTGCTTAGATATCTTAAAATTCACATCTCCTCAATTGTTTTAGGTAGGTGGTTTAGTAGGTTATCAAGTGAGATTACAATCTAAAACGCCACGCCCACCGTGCGGTTCCGTACTTTACTGCACGTCTGGTGTGCTTCTTAGAAGGCTACAAACTAACCCAGGTAAGAGCTATGGATAAATTGTATTTGACTTAAGATAGTTGCCTTAATTTGGGTTCCAATCTCATTACAATAAGGTCAAAATCTCCAGCTGAACAAAGTTGAACTGCTGAGAAGTCTTTTAAAATTAAATGACACTGGAATATATAGGGTTGTTCAACAAGAACTTTGTTTTTCAATTGTGGCTACACCAACAATATGATAATTCGTAGAAGATGCATTGGCAATTGTTACAATGTATTCAATTTCGCTTGAAAATCGAATTAAAATAATTAAAATTCACTATGACAATAGTGGTTCTGTTACAGTTACATTTTGTCAAATTCGTGATATTTTCGGACAACATAATCGTCCTTCTGAGACCGCTATTAAGAATTTGGTCGTTAAATTTGAGTCGACAGGTTCGATACAAAATGTGCCAACACCAACGCGTGTTCGACCGGGTCGTTCAACTGAAAGCATCGCAGCCGTGAGCCACAGTGTTGAGGCAGATCCAAATTTGTCAATTCCGCGACGTTCTCAACAATTGGGGTGATCCAGAACCACCAAATGGCGAATTTTGGCCTATTATTGATGACGTGGATATCACTGATATGTGGTTTCAAAAGGACGGCGCCACATGTCACACAGCCAATGAAACGATCAATTTATTGCAAACCAAATTTCCCGATCGCATAATTTCACTAAACTCAGCTGTTAAGTGGCCAGCCAGATCATGTGATTTAACACCACTACATTATTTTTTGTGGGGTTATGTTAAGGACTGAGTGTATACGGGGACAATCGAATCGATTGCAGCCTTAAAACTCAAAATCCGTGATGAGATTAACGAAATAAAAGTTTTTGAAATTCATGTGATATTAATGTTAATTTATGTAAAAATTAAATATTTTTTTAATATTATTCACTTACACAAGCATTACAACATTATATCTAAAACTTTATTTATACCACAGATAACAATATTACCATTATTATACATATCAATTTTATACTATATTAACAAATTATACAATTATTCAGTTTGCTCAATTGCAGTTATAAAAAGTATAATTGCATTATTTATAATTCCAAATTATTTTTTCAATAAATCCGAGTGTGTGTATGGAACTACAGTTTCCACAATTATTAATTTTAACAAATGATTTGCCATAAAAATCTTAAAGTTGGCCTTTTTAATGCTGGGTCTGTCGCTACAGGACACGAGGAATTTATAGCGGCAATGGAGGAGTTGGAAGCAGATATTATGGCGATTAATGAGACTTGGCTAAGAAATAGGGAAGAGGACATAGCACCTAAGCTACCAAGCCATCGTTTGCGACACATCCCCCACCCAGACCATATACGGGGTGGCCGGGGTGGTGGGGTTGGATTTTATGTCCGTAAGGGCATAAATGCACGTATGCCCATGCCCTCACCCCGTTGCATCAACGGGAGAACAAATGTGGTTGAGTGTTCGCGTCCTCAGCCAGAATATCATAATAGGGACTGCATACCGCCCGCCATGGTTGGACGTTGACGCGTTTTTCGACGCCATCACTGATTCTATTGCTTCTTTTACTAAACGTGATGGGTTAATACTTCTTGGAGATTTCAATATAGATTTACTCTCCGGGGGCAGCGGTAGACCACGGGCATTATTACAGTTTGTGGAGACCATGAACTTGCAACAGGTGATGACAGAGCCTACTCACTTTACAGACCATAGCAAAACACTGATAGATGTGATCTGTACTGATGTACGCACTTTGAGGACTGTAGTTAAGCATTGCCCAGACCTGGGACACCACGTTATGGTGTTGGCAGAATTTAAAATAAAAAAAGAAGAAAATCATCCCCATTGGGTACAGTACCGACCTTTAAAAGACATTCTTCATGATCAGTGGGAAAGTGACCTAGGTGCCATAGACTGGAGTCATTTCGGTAATGCAAATGATGTTAACAACTTGGTGGAAAACTTCACACTCTGCTTGACTGGCTTGTTCAATCTTCATGTGCCAATCAAAAGACAAAAATTCAAGCATCCTCCTCATCCATGGATCACAGATACTGTAAAATCGATGATGCATATTAGAAACAAGTATTTGCTGACCTACAAGGCTGATAAGACCAGTACACACAAGGAAAGTTACTTAACCATGAAGCGCCTTGTGGTTGAGACTATTGACAGAGAAAAAGATGTTATTTTGATAGTCATATTAACAAATACATTGGAAATTCAAAAAAGTTGTGGCACAATTTAAAAAGCACAGTGCTGTCTAGTGAGAAAGGTACAAATGAACTTCCCCGGTGTTTGGACAACCCAGACACAATGAATGTTCACTTCCTTAGTGCGCCGGGTCACAATGAAGTGTCAATGTCACAGCTAACATATTACGAGTTTCATAGACATTCTGAGACTACGTTATCGCTGGTGCCGGTTGGTGGAGACACAATAATGCAAGTTATCAAGAGGCTTCAATCCAACGCACAGGGCTGTGATGGTATATCGCTGGAGATGCTGTTATTGACACTACCTTATACAATGGACGCAATCACCAATATCATCAACAGATCAATAACTGAAAGTACATTTCCTAACAGCTGGAAAACTGCAGTTGTGAAGCCACTACCTAAGGTCAATCAGCCATCGGGACCTCATGACCTACGACCTATTTCTTTACTGCCCTGTCTCTCTAACCAGTACCTTAGAGAGACAGGGCAGTAAAGAAATAGGTGGTTTGTGATCAATTAACACAGCATCTCGAAGACAACAACATTCTCCCATGCGAATCAAGGTACGGCAACTGCACTGACTGATGTGTTTGATAACATTCTCTTAGTTCAGGACCAGGGATGTGCCAGTATCCTAGTGCTTTTGGACTTCTCAAGGGCGTGTGAAACCATTAATACCTTCACTTCTGCTGTCAAAATTATCCTTCTATGGTGCAGACACAGAAACTGTGAAATGGTTTCAGAGTTACTTGACGGATAGAAGACAATATGTGGAGCTGATTGATGCGGCCGGTAACAGATCCTGTTCATCATCACTCCCTGTCAAGCGAGGAGTCCCACAAGGCTCCATACTGGGCCCCACTCTATATATCCTCTACAGCGCAGACCTAATTCATGTTATATCTCATTGCAAATTTCACCTATATGCTGATGACTTGCAGTTATATATTTCTTTTGCTCCCGAGAACTATGATATCGCTGTTGCAAAAATTAATAAAGACCTGGCCAAACTAGCTATTTGGTGCAGGTCTAATTGCCTTGTCCTCAACCCCAAGAATTCCAAATTCATGGTATTGGGTGTTTCTATAGGCTTAAACTACTATATAAGATAAGACCGTATTTGCATGAGCAGCTTCGTATCAACCTCTGCGAATCACTTATTTTATCTAAATTAAATTACTGTGTATGGCCCCTGTATTCTAGCTAGGACAGCTAAATTGATACAGCGTGTGCAAAATGCCTGTGCACGTTTCTGCTTCTATATACCTCCACGAGTACATGTCACACCATTTCTTAATAACAATAATTTACTGAAAATGGAGGCACGCAGAAGGCTTCATCTCTCTAATTTGTTATTTGGTATCATCAAATCCGGTAAGCCAATTTACCTCTACCAAAAACTTACTTGGGCAAAAGATCATAGTGCTTATGCAATAAGATCCTGTAGGCCGATTTTTAAAATACCGGTGCATCGCACAAGAGCTTTCCGTGGATCCTTTAGGTTCGCCGCCACGCGGTGCTGGAACGACATCCCCCCGCCGATGCGTGACCTGAAAACCATTGGTACATTCAAAATCCATCTAAAGAAACATCTTTTATCACTTCAGCTCAATAGTAGTTGAATATTTTAAACTTACATCAGATTTTTCACGTTGTGTATGGGGTTCTGGGGGTGCGTAACCGGCGCAGTGTGGTTTGTTTTTTTTTGCAGGACTTCAAGCATTGTTGATGATGCGGTAACACTCGAATATTTCTTTTTGACAGCAATGTCCATTTCTTTGCGTAGGCAAGACCTCATCTTTTTTATTTAATACGTGGCATGAGAACTCAATCTAACCAAACCAATGTGGCGTTGACTGATTTACTTTTCTACGTGGCGTAATGCGTGGCAGTCATTGACAATGCGGAGAATACTTGAAATCTAGGTTTCAGTTTCTGGGTCCCTCCAGACCACGTGATCTTCGCTCTTGCAGGCACCTTACCCTTAAAACTATTTTTCACCATTCAGGGTTCGTTTCCAAATCTTTCGCCATCACAGCTATACGTCTTTGGAATGCTTTGCCACTGAATATTCGCAGTGCACGTAATAAGCTACAATTCAAAAAACTAGTGCGTGCTCACTATCTGTTAAACTAATTTTCCTCTTAATCTGTAGTCATCTATATATCATATTTTTTTTGCTAATATTAGTGTAAGTATGTATGTTTATTTATGTATTTATTTATAAATATATATATATATATTTATGAATATATATGTGTATCAGTATATGTGTAGGTATAATATGTATTTTATATTTATTGTTGTTATAGAATAGTTAGGTATAGTAGATAGTTTTTATGATCCACACTAAGTAGCTCATATTCTATCGCCATTACATTTCATCTCCTACACCTTTACTGGCTGACTGGTAGAGAATGCCTATGGCATTAAGTCCGCCATTTACTAAATAAATGCGTGGAGATGGCAGCCATTCGCACAGATTAGTGATGATAGGAACCGTACAAGTCTGCGTTCAGAACATGCACTCGGGCGCTGTCAACGTAAGTTTGACATAAGTCCTTATGACAGTGTAAATTAAATACTTAACTTCGGGTACATGGTTTATTTACATTATATATTTAAACAAATTTATAAATTACGACGACTAATTGTAATTTTCTTTATATTAATATATATTATATACGTACTGTATGGTGATGTGGGTTTTTTTCTTACTGTTCTGTTTTTAGTGTTTACTGGGTTTTTGAATATTTTACAATCCATTAAAGCCACCTTGCACAGGTCCTGCCAGAATAACAACGCCGACATGGTGAGAGAAGTTTTTTTCTTTTCTCGCTATGTTAGCTTATGCTGAGGCAGGGTCCTGGTTGGCCGTCTATAGATTAAGTTTTATTTTTGTCATATACTATGTTTATGATGGCCAATAAATAATTTTTCATTTCATTTCAAATATTCCCGCCATTTTGCCAAACAGTAGTTAAAAACTTTGATGAAAGATTCGACATCTGTCAGCGTGCTCGTGGTGGACATTTGCAAGATATTATTTTGCATTCATAATTGCCGAACATTTCTCTTTGTAATTCAATTAAAAATTTAATCATCTTCATCTAATTTTTTTGTTTTATTTTGTTTTAGAAAACAAAGTTCTTGTTGAAAAATCCTTTATTTATCTTTCTTGCAATAAGTTTAACTTTCATTCTTGATTTTATTATGAACATTGTTTTAGTGTAACGTAGAGTGTAACAAGATAATGAAATTATTCACTAATTTATTGAAATCTTGGCCAATTTTTAAATGTTGAAATTAATTTCTTTTTTTATGATTTGTTTCTCGTTAAAGATTCGAAAATGATATTTTGAGAAAGAACTGCTTTAACGACTATGCAGACGAAACCAACGGCTTCTTTCGAAGCACGGAGAAGCTAGCGATGATAAAATTTTGGTCACCCATCCTATGCGAACCAGTCATTGCGCAAGCTGCTTAATCTCCACAATAAACAGACTGTGCTCGCTAACCACTGCGAGTTTCTCGAATGGAAACTTAGTTTGAAGTAAATATTATTATATCAAAATGTCTTTTTTGTTTCGGTCAATCTTCAAAATATAGAAATAACCTCACCTGCAAGCAAAATTAAGTCATATATTTTGATATTTTTAAGGTCTAATTGGGTGCAGCCACGTGATAATAGATGAAGCACACGAAAGGGACATCAATACAGATATAACACTGCTGTTGTTAAAAAAAGCGTTAGAACTAAATCCAGAACTTAAGATAGTTATAATGAGTGCTACTCTAGACATCGATGTGTTTACAAGGTAAATCTATACTATATATACAACGAATTAGAAATTATATGTAATACGAATTGCGCTAAAAATTGGTTCGAGTGGTGGCGAAATAAGTGCAATCAATACGTCGATCATGGTATTGGTTAAGATTTCTGTTTAACATTATCTTACCCAATTAATAGATAGCCGAATTCATTGGCAGATATGTGTTTTGGTAAAGTATTTTGTTTTGTTTGTGTGCATATCGTGTTCGTATTGAAGTTCAGTTGTATGAGTTTGGGACCTTGTTTTTAGCTGTCTTTGTTAGGCAGTCATGCTTCCATATTATCTCTAATTCGTTAACTATATAATATAAATAAAATAGTAAGGCGTTATAAGTCAATTATATACCAACATTTAATTTTTACTTAAGGTTCAAGTATCTGAACTAATACTAAAAAATTGAATGTGGAAAACTTTATAATAACCTTCTTTTATTTTAATGCGCTGAAAATAATAAAATAAAATGTTCCCTTATAACTTTTACTCATTACACAATTTGTATAATATAAAAGCTTGTCGCGAGATTTGACAGAAGCGTTAGACAATTATTGTCTTACTCATATTCATTTTAAAGCCCACTTGTTGAGAGGCTCTACTGAGGTCGTTGAGCATTGTATTGAGATCCTCCAAAGTGTCTGCCATTACGACTATATCATCGGCAAATCAAAGGTGAGCCATCGACGTTGATGCCAAATCCGCTCCAATCCAGAAGCTTAAAGACGTCGTCCAACGCAGCGGTAAACAGTTTCGGGGAGATCACATCTCCCTGTCGCACTCCTCGCTGCAGTTGGATAAGTCCTATAGTCTTGTCTTGTATACGGATTGTCAAAGTGGCGTTTTCGTACAAATTCTTGAGCACCTGGATATAGCGATAGTCGATACGGCATCACTGTAAGGATCTCAACACAGTCCATCTTTCCACCGAATCAAAGGCTTTCTCATAGTCCACAAACGCTAAGCATAGTGGCCAGGTTATATTCTTCCTGCCGCAGCGTGTGGAAGTGGTCTATGGTGCCTGCTTTTCCGGGATCCGGCTTGCTCGGGAGGCTGGAAGTCGTCTGATATATTAGCGAGACGATTCGTAATCACACTAGAAAACAACTTGTAGACGTAGCTCCGCAATGAGATGAGTCATTCACCATTCTTCAAAAGGGTGTTGTCACCCTTTTTGAAGAAAAGCACCACCATGCTCCTGTGCCATGCATTCTCATTTCAAATTGTTTTTATATATTTATTTAGTTATGTACAAAATATCTTTGATCAACATGAACTATCTTAATATCAAAATTATTTTAGTTCAGCCAACACAAACTATCATAATTTCCGTAACTATATCCAAGCGATACCTTTTCCAGATATTTCCAAGAATGTCCAGTTATAGAAGTGCCCGGAAGAACTTTCCCAGTGGAAGTGTCACATTTGGAGGATATCATAGGAAAATACAACTTATCTCTCGGTAACACGGTCGACAATTGTAACCGGGAGAGTGGTAGATATTTCGTTAATTGTCAAGAGGTTAGTATTCATACATTGACACCTCTTATATCCCTTGCAGGGTTAGTAGAACTGTAGAAGGCTAGCTGTGCCCCGCGGTGTTACCCACGGTTTATTAGGGATATTTTCCTGCGGTAAAACGTAGCCTATGTGTTAATCAAGGGTGTCAGCTAACTTCATACCAAATTTTATTAAAATCGTTCCAGCAGTTTAGACGTGAAAAAGTAAGTTGCGTGTGTATGTTACACACGCAACAACTTTCGTCTTTATAATATTAATGTGATTCGCATACTTAACCGAATAGATATAAAGAATACCAGAGAACCGTCTATTTAATTTGAACTGTAGTACCTGAGTACTATTGTTATTTGAAAACAACAGCATCATATTGTTTACTAATTTAAAAATTAAGTAAAATTTCAATAAAGTAACATTTCGACGACCTCCGTGGCAGTGTGGTATATACTAGGTTTTAAAGTGTCGCCAATTCGAGAGGTCTCCCGGGTTGGAATCCCGGTGAGGGCAAATGTTAGTATGATGAATACTTGCATTTGTACCTTAGTCATACATATTTCTATATAAATATACTTATTTATATGTGTATGAAATATACGTATTCTATCCGTTACCCTAGCATCCCATAACACAAGCCTTACAGTACTTACTTTGGGGCTAGGCTAATTGGTGTGAATGATAGAAATATTTATTTATTTATTATTATTCATTGCTGAATAATTCGGCTTAGGATACTGATTTTTAACTTTCGCAAAGTTCAACTTGTTGAGAAAGTCGCTTTTTATATATTAAAGTTGTTTATATGTCCTACAATTTGAGTGCAACCTAAGCTTTGCAGCTCTGATAGGACGTTAGATACAGCTGGCTTTAATTAGGCTTCTTCCCAAAAAATATAATTGTAGATTGAACAGTACATACCTAAACGAAAACACGAATAGCCATGTAAAATGTTAGTTTTTTAATTGTTTAGTTATTCGAAGTGATAAAAGCAATTGATTCCAAAGAACCAGAAGGCGCTATACTAGTGTTCCTCCCGGGTTGGGCCGACATCAAGACTACTAAACGACTGTTAGACGACCATTATGGTGACTCGAGTACACACATGATATTGCCGGTTCATTCCAGGTAATTTATTTATGTATTTGTACACAAAACAATACTATAATGTCACTTCATGTAAACTTGCAAACTTCAAGAAAACTTTTCTTATTAGAAAGTAACATTTTCCTTATGTTTTCTTCAGTTTTTTTTTAAACAACCATTAATTTTTCAGGTTATCGACTGCGGATCAATCTAAAATGTTCTCAAAACCTCCACCAGGAATTCGCAAAATAGTTCTAGCTACTAACGTAGCGGAGACCTCTATAACTATACCCGATGTAGTCTATGTCATAGATACAGGGCTGCATAAAGAGAACAGAACTAAGGAAGGCACTGGTAAGTAAAACAAACCCTATTTATAGTTCTCACAAGGGTTCTATTGGTTTTGCCGTCTAAGATAGTTCTAGCTACTACCGTGGCAAAGACCTTTATAACAAATGATGCTAAAATAAACCTTATTCATAGTTTATAGGTCATATTGGTCTGGTTGTACTAGATAGTCCTATCTTAGTAGCTATAACTATCTTACGTGGTGAGTGATGGATGCGAAAATAAACCCTATTATTTTAATTTAGGACTTCACATAGTGGGCTTAATCTCGAAAAAAATATAAAGTAAAAAATATAAAGTTTCATCTCTGGAAATTATGTCTTAGCAATGTCATCCAATATAGCCTTTGATGGTAAACAAGCATATGACCCACCAGCAAGCGGCTATTATTAGCAAGCCTGTATAAAGTTACTTGGCACCTTATTAAATACCCGGAAAAAATCAACGTCACCAAAAACTTGAGCTATTATGCCACTGTTTTCTGTTAGATACAGGTTACTTTCTCAGACAGGCGTTCCAATGGGGAAGAAAAGTGCCAATTTATCCCACCAGGGGTGCAGGTATCGAATGGCCCATAACAACAAATCGAGACATCTGTTAAAGTCATAAGGAAAACCGATAAATTCCGATAGACTTGGACTACATTTTGAATCTACGCTTCAGGTGGAATAATTGTCAAATTTCACATAAGTTTCATACATTTTATATTAAAATTGAAACGTCAGGATAAAGAAAATGCACTTAGAGCGTAGGTTTAGAACGCAGCCTTGAAGTGACGAATTGCTTTTAAACGGCCAAATCGTCCTCTGTAATGAGTACAGACCGGATAATCGGATGCATATTTACTTAACATTATTTTTTTACTAAAAAATTACGGTAGCGATTTTTTAGGATATTTTTAAATTTTTATTTTTTTTTAACTTCTCATATGAAATGTATGAAAGGTGTATGAGAAATGGTGGTGGGGTTAATGAGAAAACATAAATGACATTTATTTATTCATTAGGGACATCTTACAGAATATTTATCGATTATCCGGTCTATAGTATTAAGCTTAACGCTATGGAGTAGAAAATACATCTCATATTTATATATTATGCAGGTACAGCCAGTTTGGAAACAACATGGATATCACTGGCGGCCGCTAAACAGAGGGCCGGACGTGCTGGAAGAGTTCAATCCGGTAAGTTATATAGTAGACGCAGGTACAATGTAGATTTATTAGATAATCTGATAATCTCGCTCGATGTTAATCGGAAAAAAAATCTAGTAAAACATTTTTTAACATTTATATAGATATTTATCCAGTAGTTAATAAATGCATAAATTAGAGACATAATCAAATAAGAGGAGCTCGATGGCGCAAGTGGTTAGCGCGTTCGGCTGTGATCGTTGAAGTTAAGCAACTTTCGCAGTGGTCGATCATTGGATGGGTGACCAAAAATTTACTATCTCGAGCTCTTCCGTGCTTCGGAAGGCACGTTAAGCCGTTGGTCCCGGCTGCATCTGCAGTCGTTAGCACCCACCAATCCGCACTGGGCCCGCGCGGTGGGTCATGGCCTAATCTCCCTATTCCATCCATAGGGAAGGCCTGTGCCCCAGCAGTGGGAACATTAATAGGCTGATGATGAGAGACATAATGACAAATGTACTGACTCTTTGTATTAAAATAATGATTAGACACGCGATTATAAGCTGGATTACCAGCTTATAGTTGATATAATAACTATAAGCTGGTAATCCAGCTTATAATCGAGATAACACATATCTGAGATGGTAATCTAGGAACAAGAACTAAAGCATAAAAAGAATTTAAATTGAAAGTCTCTCATATAGTTATCTTATTTAACACATAGACAAAAAAAGGGACAAATATATACAGGGTGTAAGGGGAACGCTCCTGAAGCAGAAATATTTGTATTATACTATGAAATGTGCGTGTGTACTACACACGTACACATTGACGAGCGTATTTATCATATATGGTAGATATTTTTTCGGCGCTTCCATGAAGTTAAGCACGCAATTCCGTGTAGGTATCTAAGCGCGTGTTTAATCAAAGTTTCAAGAATGTATAACTCGCGCCAATAGACAGGCGGATCTAACATGGCCATGCAAGACATTTTCGGTCAATTAAATAATAATAATAATAATAATAAATATTTCCAATACTCACACCAATTAGCCTAGCCCCAAAGTAAGCACTGTAAGGCTTGTGTTATGGGATACTAGGGTAACGGATAGAATACACATACGTTACATATATAAGTATATTTATATAGAAATACATATTTAAACATCCATGACTGGAGTACAAATGCTCGTGTTCATCACACAAATATCTGCCCCCACCGGGATTCGATCCTGGGACCTCTCGAGTCGGCGACGCCATGAAACCCGGCGTACAAACCACTCGGCCACGGAGGTCGTCTTCTTCTTCTTTGTTGGCGTGAATTATTCTTAACAATTTGACCGATCGTTTTGTTACTATTTTATAATATCACGAGTAATATATCCTATTTATATTTCCAGGCCATTGCTTCAGATTGTACACAAAAGAGAAAGAAGCCGAATTAGCTCCACATTCTACGCCTGAAATCCTGAGAGTGCCGTTAGAGCAGACCGTATTGGATTGTAAGACTTACGCGCGAGACGTTATGGTCGAAGATTTTCTGTCACAATTGCCTGAACCGCCCAGCAAGAAAGCTATAGAATACGCTGTCAATGATCTAATCGATTTAGGTAATCCTACTATCCTATCAAAAAAGGGTATTTGACAGCATCGAAAATAAAGGACCAATTGCTTGCATCTGTATTTAATATGAATATTATCAGCGATTATACTTTCTTGAGAAAATAAATAATTGCAAACTTTTCTAAAATTAATGAAATAGAAATGATTAGATAATCTTTGTTCTATGGTCACGTGACAGAAAAGGCCAAGGATTGGCGAAGACTAAAATGACGTCACACACTATTAACTTGCGGTCAAACATTACATTATATCGTTTGTCGTTTTAATGACAGTCGTGTGACGTCACATACCAGAGAGCACGCAATAATGCAACTTTAAATAGGCAATTTTTAATATATGCATTTGTTTTCTCAAGGTGCCATGAAAATGTTTACAAATCTAACATGAAATGTTGAATTCATACACATAAATATTATTTTCAAAATTTACATTTAATTCATATAATTGTATACTCTGTTCAACTTTCTCTGAGATTAAAGGTAAACATATAAATCAATATCCCTAAAACTTTTTTGTCGTCAGTAATGGTGGCCGGTGTAGTCTTAGTCTTAGTAGTACGGCGGGCTGTTTCTGCAACTCGACACCCAGTGCCTATTTTGCGTGGGGATTGGCATCAGTCCTGCCATCCCAGCTCCTCCAGAAAGCTCAGCAGTCCCCGAATGTTGCTGCAGGTGGCCCGCGGCATTCAATCGCCTCAGCGGCTCTAATGATGCCCACACACTCTGCCTGGAAGACCGTGTTATAGGCTCCCAATGCTGTTGAGATGTGTATATTTAGGTCTTCGGAGAAGACACCTGAACCTGTACCATAGTTGGTGTTTGAACCGTCTGTGTAGACCCTCAACTCCTTATGCAGACAACGGTCCGGAGTGTCTTCACAACTGCGGGTCTCATAAGAAGGCTTAAGGTCACACAGCGAGCAATGGAGAGAGCGATGCTTGGTGTTTCGCTACGCGATAGAATCAGAAATGAGGAAATCCGTAGAAGAACCAAAGTTACCGATATCGCTCGAACGATTGCTCTGCTGAAGTGGCAGTGGGCGGGACACGTAGCAAGAAGAACCGATGGCCGTTGGGGCGGAAAGGTTCTGGAAGGGACCGGACGACGCTCAGTGGGCAGGCCCCCTACAAGATAGACCGACGATCTTGTGAAGGTCGCGGAAAGCCGATGGATGCGAGTGGTGCAGGACCGATCGGTGTGGAGATCCTTGGGGGAGGCCTATGCTCAGCAGTGGGCGTCGTACGGCTGACATAATGTATGAAATTTGCCCTATTGAAAAACCTTTATTTAGTTTTTGTCTCAGAGGAAGTAAAATAGAGTATAGTTAAGTGGTAGCGGGGCAGACTTTATTATTAACTATCTTTTGTAAATACAAATGAGAATTTTCTGGAAATCTTTCTAATTTCTTCAATATCTTATCTATCAAACACAGGTGCCCTTACACCAACCGAGCATCTAACCCGTCTCGGCTCACTTATATCTTCTATGTCTCTACCACCGCGCCTCGGATACAGTTTATTATTATCAGTGGCGGCTGGAAACATACTATCTACTGCTAATGTTGTAACTCACTGCGCTGAAAACTTGGAATTGTTCGCTGAAGCGGCTGAAAGGAGAGACGGTGAGAATTTTTATTATATATTATTAGATTTTACTTGTACATTTTCATATAAGATAGCCTCGGATATAGGTAGTTTATTATTATCAGTGGCTACTAGAAACATACTACATACATCTTCAACATTCTATCGTTGAAGCAGCAGATAGGAAAGACAGTGAGAATTTAGTTGGAATTTGTATGTAGTAGATTCTTTTTGTGCTACTTCCGTGCAGTTAATACGGTATCTAGGTGTGCTTATAATCAAAGAGTTTTATATTATTATATGAAATATCTAAGGATAAGACTTTTATTAATGTGCTGTGGTTCAGAAGGCGCGAGGACGAATGAAAAACAATATCCAAGATCGTAAAGAATGGCATGGTTTTAAACCGATGCAATGCAAAACTTGAAGTTATTTTTATATCGCCTTTGGTTTAACTAATAAAATTTGGGAAAAAAGTCTTTCCTCGGCTGGGCGTCGAACCCGAGCCGCCCGCATAGCGTAACTGAAACACCGGCGCATGGATGTTAGGGACTCAAGTTTTAATAACAATTAAAAATATAAAATGCGAGATATCTTTTAAGCATTTACTGCTTTACTGTTATGCTATACCCCTATAGTATATTAAAAAAACATCTAGCGGTAAAATGCTTGAAAGATATCATGAAAATTGTATACGAGCTGACGGCTCACCTGATGGTAAGTGATCATCGCCCATACCAAATGCGATGTCGGCCTTCAAGGAAGGAGTCCGCTCTTTTTTTCATGAAAAAAATCCCAGCGACCAAGGAGCAGGCGGGACTCGAACCCACACCCTTCGCTATCCGGGTGAATGCACTGACCATTATGCTACCGCGGCCCTGATGGCCGTGTCGAATTTTCTCTAGCATTTCTTAGGGTCCAGGGCCATCTAGACCGCGGTAGCATAATGGTAGCAGGCGGTAACCAAGGAAAAACGAGAGAATCTTGTCATTGAATTCAATCAGGCTTTGGACCACATTTTCGAATCCGGTACCAAAAACTTGGTTGAGTTCAATGCTAAAAAACCCAGGTCTGCGTTTTCACAGCAAAAACTCTTCTCAGGGAACAACACTGAAGCTAAAGAGCAGTGTCACCATGTTCGGTATAGAAATCCGCTGGCATTAATCCAAAGCATTACATCGAAAACGTGGTTAAAACGGCCCTCAAGCAAACTCGGAGTCCTGAACAAGGTGCGGCGTTTTACAGGCCCGAGCTACTGTGCTTGTTGAACGCAGAGTGTTCTGAAGAGTTTTTTTCTTTTATTCCACCTTCCCCTTTCCTTCAGAGGACCACGCGCTGGCTTACGTTGCCACCGACTAATTGTGGCCATTATTCCAACGCGTACAAAGAAGTTTGGTGACTCATTTCTTTGTCGCACTATCCGTAGATGGAATGCTCTGCCCGCTCACGTGTTCCCCTCCCTCTTCCAACCTGGGAGCCTTTAAAAGAGGCGTGAAGAAGCAACATGCAGGCCGGCAGAGTGAGGACGGCTGATGTAGCATTACTGTATCAGCTAACTTCGCGGCTGGACTTCACCGTCCCTTAACATCAAGTGGGGTGGAGACATTTGTCGGACCTATCTATAAAAAAAGGGTGCGGGATCGAGTCCCGCCCGCTGCCTTTTTCTAGTGAAAATTTCTTTCGATTTGTTTAAAGTACATTTAATTAAGATTAATGTAAACGAAACCATACGTGTTGTCATAATTATCTGCTTAATTTATTTAAGATTAAATCTTCAGTCTGAACAATCTGAAACCCGTGAATTCATTTGCCAAAATTTCTTCCAGAGATCCGCGATTTCAAACGAACATACAACGAAAGCTCAGATCACGCAGCACTTCATAAGATACAGACTGAATTCGAAATAACTACGGACAGGATGGGCAAAGATTACAGCCAGCAGTGGTGTGAAAGGCGACATCTCAGGGGAGATAGACTGAATTACATCAAAAGTGAGTCATTAGCTGCGTTCGGTATTTGCATCGCAGAGTCGACGGATTTGTGGCCACGTGATCAGAGATTAATCTGAGCAAATTGCTATTACCAAACCCAACATCCCGGCCAACCGTACATTAATTTAAACTAACCTCACCATATGCCGGATAACCAGATTAATCTTTCTCTTCGGTCATAATACTCCGAGCAAACAGATTTACATCGAACTCATCTGAGCGAAATTGCCGTTCAGATTTACTTTAGATATAATAAACGATAAAAAGATTGATCAGACGCAAATAACGAACATAGCTTATATACTCATTATAATTGTTTTGTTTTTTCATTATTGATAGGAGACCCGGCAGACAGTTGTATCGATACAACTGTCTGGCTTGATTATCAAAATTTAGCATCAGTCACTCCTTTTCATTCGGTATAGAGTATGACAGGGACTTAAATATGAAAACACTCTTATCATATTTAAGCTTAGGTTTAGAAAATCATGTCAGAATCGACACTATACAGGGTGTTATAAAAAACCAAATAATGCTTGAAGAGCGTTGTAGTACATCATATAAGTCTTCTCTAATTTTCATATGAAATTTAACTTTTTATAAAAACAGTTATTTTTAATTATCCTCGAACTAGTGACGTGTCTTAAAATGACCGATATTTTTATTAATCATTAAAAAGAACTGTTTTTATAAAAAGTTCAAAACTACATGCAAATATTTGAAGAAAATTACTGAAGACTCCATAAATGATGTACTTCAACACCCTTCAAGCTTTATTTGTATTTTTGTAACATCCTGTATAGGTTATATGTATTCACACAACAGAAACGATAGTATAATTAATGACAGTATTTTGTTCTTTACGATTTCGATATAAACTAGAAAAATAAATCAGAGCTACCTGAGCTCGCAACTTATTTTATCTAGGTAACATACATGCAGACCACGTTACGTCTTGATATCAACAACGATGAAATCATGATGGATTAGTTGACCATGTTTTGTCTCTGTTCATTAAATGACAAATGGAATTTGATTGACATGATCAAAACACGGCGTAACTAAGCTAAGCCTATTTCTTTTTTATCAATAAGGGGTACATGTTTTAATAATAATAAATATAAACTATAGTGATGATGTTTTATGCTACTCGTATCACTAAAGAATGAAATCGAAAATGCCGACGCAAGACATTGAGTCTCTCTCGCACGTTACTGAGGATAGCAGGTGCGAGAAAGACAGGCTGTTTTACTAAGGTCGTTTGTGATACATTTCTTTAATGACTGTTATATTATGCTATCTACAACATAAACAGACGCTTTTCTAGCTTTTTATAGAACTTTTTAAGCACTTAAAGTAAGCCAAACATCTCATCGATACATTCCTATCCCATACTTTGCCTATTCTTCTCCACACACACGCACGCAAGCACGCACGCGCGCGCGCACACACACACACACACACACACACACACACACACACACACACACACACACACACAGTGAGGGACAGACAGACAAACATACACGTCCATACAAAATTCATTAATAAAATCCTGTTTGTCTTTTTGTTCATTTCATTATTTTTAATTGATTGCATTACGTCTGTGTTGTGTTACATATAATAATTGCGTATGAACTTTATTGATGTGATGCTATCCTATTTATAATATTAGGGTGCCCACGATACAGGATTCTCCTAGTGTGGGACCCACAGTCAATGCTACGGTATACTTACGTTTAGTCTTAAGTAAAAATAAAAAAATACACCTTTTACTAGCTCTGTTATGTATGTACGATTGTTTGAAATTATGTAAAATTTAATTAGTTAACGTGTTCATGATGTAACAACTTATTGGAAATAAAGGATTATTAATTTATTATTTCCAGAATTATCCAATCATCATTTAGAGCAATTAATAAGATCGTCGTATATAGAATCTAATCCCGACACTGACGAGTTGAGCCGGTTCTCAGAGTTGGACGAACTCACGGCGGCCATCTTGTTGGCCGGATCCAACACTTTGCTGATCAGCAAGAGACACGTGAAAACCAAAGGAAAATTGGCCACTACTGTTAATATGTTCACGTCGTAAGTTACATTTGACTTTATTTTATTACTAGACGGTTTCATCCGCATTCATCATCATCATCAACAACAGCCTATTTTCCAGATCGATCTTGAGCTACTCGCATCCAGTTCCTGCCAGCCACCTTGCACAAATCGTCATAATAAGTAAGCCCAACATCGCATCGTTACATTCCTATCCCATACTTTACCTATTCTTCTTCGTATTTCTATTTTATTACCTACTAGTTGGCCCCGCGTACTTCGTACGAATTAAAATAATTTGGAAGAAATGACGGACCCGAGTCTACCGTACCAAAAGGGACGAACGTCAAATGTTTGACAGGAAAGAAGATAGAACAGTTTATATGGGAAAATTAAATTGACGTTTTTAATATCTTCCTTGCAATTTTTCCATGTTTTCTCACCTTTTAAACCTTACCTAGACCTCTACGAACAGTTTCAAGACCAAGATAAGATAAATCCGTTCAGCCGTTCTCGAGTTTTAGCGAGACTAACGAACAGCAATTGTTTATATATATAGATTTCTCATTCTTATTTCCTATTCATCCGCATTAATTTAAGGAGAAAGGTTATAGTGTGACCCCTTAAAAGATAGTGTATAATATGTTGTCGCGGACTTTTTTATAGAACATTTAAAAGGTAACAATTCGGTCATACATAATTTTTGTGTAACTTTTACCGTTTGCGCAGACCAGAAACAGAACGGAAACTCACAAATGGAATATTTTTTCCCGTTTTTGCAACATTTTTCGTTACTGTTTCGCTCCCATTGGTCGTAACGTATTGTTAATGACCTACAGCCTCCCTCTATACATTCACTTTCCAACTCAAAATATTTTTATAGTTTATAACCGCTGTACCAGCAATCTTCGCGTTTGGACTTTATCACCACATAACATCAGGAGGGCTAGAGTCATTTGCCTAATTGGCTGAAAACAAGAAACTAGTTCCTTTCCCAAAATGAGATTTGAGCGTTTCAACAAAAAAACTCCGGATTTATAATTTTATAGTATGGATTATTATTTCAAGCATTAAATTGCTAGGTTTGTAAATAAAAAAATATTTTTATCAGAACAAATCCACTGGGTCCGTCCATGCATCAGACAGGATTTGAACCTGCAATTTTTGCTAGCGGACGCACTAACCAATTATGCTACCGGACCGAGATTAACGGTTGTTTTAAATTTCTTTTAGTATTTCAGCTTTTAAGCTGTCAAACGCATTGTCAAACATAAAACTTTTATAAGTATTATACATCTGAAATAAGGAATAGCAATTGTAGTTCCTATTATATTTATTTTTAGCATTTAACTGTCATTTTTATAGATCTAGAGAAAATTTTGTTAAAATAAATTCCATGCTGCCCAGGCAATAGATATCATCCGCCCATAATGCGGAAGGTGCAGTTTCGAATCCTGACTGATGCCTGGAATGTGTTGATTTTATTCGAGTAACATTTCCTTTAAATTGTATGTCAAAGTCAAAAAAAATGATAATAAAAGAACATCAGTATTTAAAATAATAAAAATCCGTCTAAAGTAAAAAAACGTGATTCTTTGCCTCTTCTGATGAGTAATATATTCATTATTTTTCTTACAGTAAAGGCGATCGAGCACATATCGGTAGCGAAAGCGTCAACCACGCTATATCGAAGCGATCAAACAAGACCCATTTATTAGCTTACTACGGTGGACAACATTCCCATGAACGGAGGGCTTTGGTCGTATATAAAACGTCTTTAATATCACCACATACTGCGTTATTGTTTTGTAAAGGAGACATAAAAGTGGAGGAAATGGTAAGCAATGTCAAAGTTTTATCATCGGCATTAGCCTATTAATGTCCCCACTGCCGGGCATAGACGTTCCCTAGAAAAATAATAGGGAGATTGGGCCCTAACCCACCACGCGGGCCCAAAGTGGATTGATGGGTGCTAACGACTGCAGATGCAGCCGGGACCAACGGTTTCACGTGCCTTCCGAAGCACGAAGGAGCTCAAGATATTAAGTTTTTGGTCACCCATCCATTGACCGACCATTGCGAAAGTTGCTTAACTTCCACGATCGCACGCCGAATGCGCTAACCACCTGCGCCATCGAGCTCCTCCTAACTCTAGCTCCTATCTATACTAACATTATAAAGAGGAAAGATTTGATTGTTTGTTTGATTGTATTGAATAGGCTCCGAAACTACTGGACCGATTTAAAAAAATTCTAACAGATTTAGAATCCTACATTATCCCTGATGAACGTAGGCTATAGGTTATTTTCAAAAATTTGTGGTTCCGTCAGAAAAATTCGTTATGCAACACAGGGTGTGCAAGAAATAACCTTATACCGTTTACGCTGCGGCAGTCATTGACAACCACTGACAACAGAGCAAAGTGATGTACTAAAGTTTTATAGACGACATAAATATCTACAAAAAAGTCCCCGAAACCATACGTCTAACTTTTACAGTTTGTCACTAAAGATCCCCTGCGATTTCACCCGCGTTAATTTGAGGAAAAGGTTTCATAGTAAGTCAAACTTAAAAGATGGGCATATTCTGTCAAGGACTTTCTTATATAACTTTTAAAGGGGAAAAGTTCTGCCATACATGATTTTTGTGTAACTTTAATTATTTACGCAGCGTAGCTTACGGTGTCACCCAAATGGATTATTTTTACTATTTTTTTGCGCTACTAATCGCAACGTAATATCTACTAGTATGTAGGCCGAGTGATTTGTGCGCCGGGTTTCATGGTATCGCCGACTCGAGAGGTCCCTCCCGGGTTTAAATCCCGGTGAGGGCAGATGTTTGTGTGATGAATACGAGCACTTGTACTCCAATCATGGATGTTTAATATTTATTTCTATAAAAATATACTTAAGTATGTACAGTACATATATTATATCCGTTACCCTAGTATCCCAATAACACAAGCCTTATAGTGCTTACTTTGGGGCTAGGTTAATTGGTGTGTGTTGGAAATATTTGTTTATTTAACCAAGGAAACTTACAAAAGCTATTTGGCAGTATGAAAAATAAAAAGTACCAATTGTTGGCATCTGTGTTCAATATGAATATTAGCAGCAGTTGAACGATTCTGGGAGTACAAAATATTTAGAAACTTTTCAAAAAATAGCACATTATGGAAATTATTTGTTGCTCTATGATCATGTGCCCGAAAATGCCTGGGATTGCCGAAGACTAAAACGACGCCACAAGCAGGTAAACTGCCGGTAAAGTGACATAATATTGTTATGTTCGACGTTTTAAAGAAAAAAAAACAAGTAAACAGAGAGTATATTTTGATTATTTTTGGCTTTTTAGTGCAATCAATTAAAGCGTGTTTTTTAGTTTTTTAAACTGTTAATTTATTTTTCTCTTTTTATTTTATTACAAAACATAGAACGAGTTTATGGCGCTATTTAGACGAATCTTATGAGCCCAAACTCGATATTTTTGCTAGTAGGCCAATAATAATAAGCCAGGTCAAGGTTCCATCAGCCACCTACCAGTCCTATCATCAGACCAGCTCAATAGTACCATAATATTATATTGTCATCTAATCTACATATAGTTGCCAAGTTTCATGATGATACAAGAATTAGAAGTGCGTGTAATTCAGATTCTTAGATTTTATTACATAGTTTGTTTGTTACAAGTCGACCTAATAAAAGCGTGTTAAAATGAAGTTGTACCTACGTGCAAAACGTCATAATATGATAAGTTTGGCAAGCAAGCAAACAGGAAACAAAGACACTACTATTAAGAACTACATGTTCCAACAGCTGAACCAAGTTAGATAAAATTTGGTTGAGATATAGTTGAGGAGCTCGATTGCGCGGCTTCGGCTCCGATTGTTCAAGTTAAGCAACTTTCGCAGTGGTCGGTCATTGGATAGATGACCAAAAATCTTCTATCTCGAGTTCTTCCGTGCTTCGGAAGGCACGTTAAGCCGTTGGTCCCTGCTGTGGCTTCCTATTCCATTTATAGGGAAGGCCTGTGCCCCAGCAGTGGTGACGTTAATAGGCTGATGATGATGATGATAGATATAGTTCAAATCGGGATTCGATTACCCGGGGGTAAGGATATGATAGTTTATATCCCAGAAATTATCCTAAAAGGGTGAAAAGGGGTGGCGGTATGTATGGGAAACCAATTAAACCACGCAGACAAAATCTCTGTCGCAAATTACGGACAGAATAAACTGTGCGATGAAAAGCTTAGATATCGAGTGGTACTTACACACCACTAATCTATATATATATAAATGAATCGTCGAAAAGTATGTGCGCGTGTGACTTCCGAACGACTGAACCAAATAAGATTTTTTTGGTGTTCGTTATTTCCAGGACAAGGTTTGTATAAAAAGTTTTAAGTCACGGAGAAAAAATTACGCAAGAAATATTATAAGAATAAAAGTTCCACGCTTGTATTTGGATAAAATTTATATTTTTTTACAGGATGATGGTGAAAGCAGTATGACCAAGCTTGTATTACCGAAACACAGATTAGAAGTTTATGTTCCCTCCAGGTATGACTGAAATAAATCATATTTTTTATTCTAAGTACTAACATACATTGTTCTTAACACTGAGCACTAAATGCTAAAAATATTGAAAATTTAATGTGTGTATACACACTTTTCTTGTAGTTTTCTTCAAATACCTTTGACAATCTCGTTAAATGCTGCTTAATATTATAAAAGTTTATGTTTGTGCAATTTTATATATGTATGTTTGTTACGTACTTACAATCAAGCAAAAACTTGAAAAACATTTAGTTTGGATAAAGTTTTTGTTTATTTTATTTATTTATTTAATCTTTCTTGCCTTTACACTGCAAATGGCGGACTTAATGCAAATATGGCATTCTCAAAGATTGTGACCCGGATTAAGACTTAGGATACTTGTTATCCTGGAAAAATATTAGGATCCTGGGATTCTTAAAAAAAACCAAAGTTAAAGTTAGAAATCGCGGGCGGACGCTATTAATGAATAAAAATATTTTTCTTTTTTAGTCAAGCAAACTCAATTTTGCGAGCCAGAGAGATGCTATGGAGTACATTCCAGTATTACATTGACAGAGATCTCAAATGCATTGCTTACGATGACCACACGACTGTATCCAGATTCACAGCAAAACTAATGAAGGCAGTAACTAAAATACTTACAGAAGCTCACAAGGAACACGTGATGGTAGACAGCAAGAAATATATTGCTGATGAAAAATAAAATGAGAAATATACTGGGCATTTCATTCACTCATCTCTCTTATTTTATTTTATTTTTATTTTATTTATTTGGACAACCAACAAGAACATACACCTTACATGCTAATAATACATTTCTTTTTTCTTAAGTAATTTGGTGTTGCCTTAATAACAGGCTGTCACGGAAAGCAAAAAAAATGTCTAATCTAATTAGGAGCATAAGGCATCCTTTACAAAAATATACTGATTTTATAAATTAACAAAAAGCAAACAGAAGTCCATAACATTTCATTTTTAAGATAAAAAACCAAACAAAAACGATAGATAGATGAGTTATTAAGTGTTAAGCTGTATTTTTTTTTTTTAAGTGTAGGGAGACTCAGACTAAATAAATCGATTACCTTATTTTTGCTTATTGAATTGTATTGCGCTTGAAGCCTGTTTATAGGAGAGTAAAGACCTAAATTAGTCTTGCAATATTTTGGTGTAAACAAGGAGTATCTTGACAGACGTGGTAGTTTGCGAGTGATCGAGAAGTTAAGTTTATGTATCAGTTGGGGGCAATTTATGTTACCATTTGCAACCCTATGGAGAAAAGATAAGCTTATCATATTGCGCCGATTTTTCAGCGATGAAAATTTAAAATGCCTTAAACGTTCGTTATATCCGTGCAGCTTTTTTGCGAGGTTAAATTTATAGGACAAATGATACAAGAACCTTTTTTGCACACGTTCTATTTTATTGGAGTGTACATCATAATAAGGGTTCCAAGCTGCACTGCAATATTCGAGAGTAGATCTAACCAGGCTTTCATACAATCTTATAATGGTTGATTGGTTTTTAAAGTTTTTAGTATTTCTTATTACGAATCCCAGACATTTAAGTGATCTAGAAACTATATAATCGTAATGTTCTCTTATATATACTCAAAGGAAATTAAACCTTAGGTTATGAGCATTAATGCTGCGTTTTCACCTCTTAACAAGAACTAAAATGATAGAAGTAATGCTATGGACGTTTGAGGGTGCACTCCCATAGACAATAAATTAACAAAACGATTTCATAAGTATAAGTGGCGTTTTGGCAGGTTGCATTTGACATTAGATCGCTTTTTGATTCGGTATCGTAAAGGTAGCCAAGGTCTCCAATTTATTTAACTTGGCCTTTGTATACTAGTTCGCACGCTGTTCATAGCAACATATATAATATATTGTCCCTTTTTTGTACTTAAGTAAAAATATGATAAGTAGAGGGGCGTATTTCCCCTAGGGCCAAAAGAACCATGGCCCAGGGCGTCAGAAGTCATATAAAGGCATTCTTTACTGACCTACATTTTGATTTGTTACTAATTTTGAGGGCAGTGGCGGTACACAATAATGACGACCTCCGTGGCCGAGTGGTATACGCCGGGTCACATGGTGTCGCCGACTCGAGAGGTCCCGGGTTCGAATCCCGGTGGGGGCATTTGTTGGTGTGATGAATACGAGCATTTGTACTTCAGTCATGGATGTCTAATATGTATTTCTATATAAATATACTCTAGTATACCATAACACAAGCCTTACAGTGCTTACTTTGGGGCTTGGCTACTTGGTGTGTGTGTTGGAAATATTTATTTATTATTGGGGGTGCCTATGGTGTACGCCAAGGATGCGTTTTTTGGCTGTTTTTAGAAGCAGTTTTAAAGAAATTGACCAATTGCGTTGCTCAAAGTAAATTTTCTGTTTATTCATTTGCAGCAGCATCATTTCTGTTAAGTACACATTGACGTCGCGTTGACAAGCATTGTCAGTTCTCTCTGTTTGAAGCAGCATTTGTTCACAGCACGAGTTATCGAAGTCAATAGTGGTATGTTTAGGTAGGTAAGGGTAGCTACACACATAACCGGGCCGGCAATATTTGTCGAACAACAGAGCCGACCCGTAGTAATTACTGCTGAATATTCATCTACATATAATTCGATTTTACCGCCCGGCTGTGCCGATTAATGCCAGGTCCGCTTATGTGTGTAACTACCCTAATTGTTTTCGAGGATGGCGGCAGCAGTACTACCTGTATTATCAATGATTCGAAGTCATATTATCAACTACATACTTTTTTGTCAGAATAATGAAATCGCTCCCAATATTGATATTAAACACATGCCAAAATTGGTACTTTATTTTTCATACTGTTTAATAGCCTTTTATAAAAAGTTGTTGGTAATGACTGCAAATGCAACTGCAACTTAACTTGCCTTTCGGAGCACGAAGGAGCTGGAAATAGAGATTTTTCGACGACCACGATTACAGAGTGAATGCGCCAACAACCACTGCGTCATCGATGCTTCGAAAGTCACTTCAAAATTTTCAACACAGAATTGTCACTATGACTAATGAGGTATGTGCATATAAAGTGGAAACTTTCATGAATAATAATAATAAATGTACCGTCAAATCTCCAATAATTTAACTTCGCAAAGGAAAAGGTCCTGTGGTTTTAAGACTGCAAACCCACAGAAAAGAGTAAGCGATGTAACTTTATTTTACCTATGTTTTTATTTTTTAAGCATTTAACTGCTAGATGTTTAAATCTAAATAAATGAATTCGCCCGGATAGCGGGCTCGAGTCCCGTCTGCTGCCTGGCCCGCGTGGATTTTTTTCTAGTATACTTTTCTTTAGATTTAAACATCTAGCAGTTAAATGCTTAAAAAACAAAAACATAACTATAATAGCTATTTCATCTTTCCAATGATTAATACTTCTACAAGTATTCATTTGACATTGTGGGTTACCTACTTTGCGAAGAGATGGCGCTGCCTTCCAGCCTAAGGCTAGAGAAAATTCTACGCGGCCGTCAGGGCCGCGGCAGCATAATGGTCAGTGCATTCGCCCGGATAGCGAAGGGTGCCGGTTCCAGTCCCGTCTGCTACCTGGTCCGCGTGGAATGTTTTCTAGTATACTTTTCCATATTTTACCTCCTTAACATAACTTCATAAAGTAAACACCTGATAGTTACGTACCTGAGTACGACGCACGTGATTCACAAAAAGTTTTTCATGCTCAACATTTAGTTTATTTTTTAATGTTAAACGGGTTGCAAACAAGCATTTTGTCCGCCTGATGGTAAGCGGCCACCACCATAGCCTAAAGACCCTTTATTGTGTCTAGGAAATGATTTACGCATCCTTCAACCACTGGGGGAGCGAGAAGAAGGTATGTGGAACTCCTCCCTGTCCCCTTCAGTCAGCCCTGGAGCTCGCTGGAGTAAACAGGGCCCTACCTACGCCCTGAACAGGGCCACTAAAAACCAGACTGTGCTCCTGCACCGTCACCCAACACGCATTATGAGGACCACGGTCCCTAGAGTGTGCCGAGAGGGCGGGTGTGGTCGCGGCACCCGTTTCCGAATGGCCGCGCATCCGCCAGGTATAGCCTGTAGACCCTGGCGATACCAAAAACATCACTTGCGCCGTTGCGTACCCTGACCCAATCCCTTGCCCCGTGGAGTCCTGACCCTTAATCACCGACAGAAATACAACACCACCAAAGGTAGTGTTATTTTACTGTGGTCTTCTGTAATGTAATGGTTATTTCCCCAGACGTGCGCTCCAATTATAACGAAACCCCGCTATACCCTACATCTCTTCGATCAATCATAAAATTACTGCCACTGAAAATCTATATATATAAAACTCAAAGGTGACTGACTGATTGACATAGCGATCTATCAACGCACAGCCCAAACCACTGGACGGATCAGGCTGAAATTTGGCATGCAGGTAGATGTTATGACGTAGGCATCCGCTAAGAAAGGATTTTGATCAATTCTACCCCCAAGCGGATAAAAAAGGGGGAATGAAATTTTGTATGAAACTTTGTCAATTTTAAACCGATCGGGCTAAAACTTTGCATGCAGGTATAAGAAGAATCATAGATGAATGTCATTGTGTATAATACAAGCCTGAGAACAAAAACTGTAGTCTACACTTCAGCTCTACACCGAAGCGAAGCGAGGGCGGGCCGCTAGTTAATCATAAAAGTACAAACGCTTTTCGAATAATTAATTAATTGGCAATTAATAATACATCAAATAAGTACATCACCCAAGTACTTATATTATTTGATACCGTTTTCCTTACTTAACTAAGTACGTAAGTACCAATTTTTCTCGCTAGCATAGCAATAGCGTCTTAAAAGTCAACTAATGGGGAAATACACGATTTGGATCAATAAGCCTATGACGTCAACGGTCATTGCAGAAGTAGTTCTAAAGATATCATTAGTAATCATGAATAATATATTTACCAGATGCACAAATAGAATAAAACCACAGAAAAAAGACAGTAATAAGTCTACCTATAAGCTAATCTAATGCTGCGGCTGAATGTTAAAAAAATTAGAGTAAGCAATTCCGTTTAGTTCAATATTTTTTTATTAGCACCCATCAATCCTAACTATCACCCACCAATACCCTTTTCAGCCTCGAATCTCTTTTACACCATCCCTTTTATCAGCCTCTAATTCGTTTTCACCCTCCAATCCCCCAATCCCCTCTTCTCCTACCAATCTCCTGTGCTCATTTAGTTTAACAACTTCCTTCCCATGTTGATACTCCTCACTCTAACCCACAGCGCCGACGAGATTAGTGAGATTCGACCGAAATAAAAAAAAAACGTAAAGAATACGCACGCACGGCACCATGCATGGGAACGTGCGGTTAAATGTTTTGCCGCACGTTCCTTTGGAGCTCGTAATTTTGAACTTTCGAACAATGTATATGTTACCGGCCAAACCCGATTTCAGGACAAACTAGTTTTGCCTAGGCTAAACTGGTTCTTCCTATGCGCGATAGGATTAACTAGTATAGCCTAGTCCAAACTAATTTGTCCTAAGCCCGATAGGATAAACCAGTTTAGCCTAGGCCAAACTAGTTGATCCTGATAAAAATACGCATACTCTAGGATAAACTAGTATGGCCTAGTGTAAACATTATAGTATATCTAGAAAGTCAAAATAAATAGATAAACTGAATAAAATAATCCGTAATTGGAAAAATAATATT